TGAGTCGACCAACCCGGCTAGACGACTCTCACATGTCAAGCATCAGCATATCCTCGAGACCCTCGAACCTCGCTTGTACTGCGTACTGTACTTCAACTTCAGTCCACGTAATCCCACTTCAATCCCACCGCAATCACCCATGCAAGCCCACTTCGCCCCAACTCTGACTAAGAGCCATCTATCGCCTTCCGGGGTCTCCGAGCATAAAATGCAAGCCAAGCCTCCTCCCAAATCACTAAGAGAACACCAACATGTTTATCTGAAACCCCGCCACGCCCCCCTCGGTAGTCTTCCATGCAGGCCGAGGATTACTCCATGCTTATGCTATGAAGCACGTGGCGGGCAAACAGTGTGACATCAGGCCTTGATACTGGGGGAGACCTTCTATCTCGAGTAACTGGCGCGGGAGACTTGGGGAGACGAAGTCGGATGGTTTGTCGGGCTCTGTTTTGGGCCCTGCAGGGATGGGGCTCGGTGGGACGGGGTCAACCGGACGAGTTTATTCGGAGCAAACTCGGTGAGATCCTTTTGGTGGATTCGCCTGGTATTCTTGTGTAAACTAAGGGGATTGGCATGAATTATTCACGCACTCGAGGGCTTAATTGGTGGTGGCTGATGATTGTGCTGATCTTCGTCAGCGCTATGTCGAGATGCTCCGGGGTGGCTTGGGCTTGAGGGTATGAATTAGCTTGGAGAGTGATCTACTTCTGAGTCGGACTGAGCTGACTCTGAGGGCGGCTGGGCGCGTGTAGAGGAAGAAGCCTTGTCTGGTTGACTGTGATGAGTAGGGCTGAAGGAGCTGGGCCTGAGACCCGGGGGAAGAATAGCTCCTCATGCTTGGGGTGAGTAGATGTTCGATGAGTGGTATGGATGTAGTCATTTATTCGGAGGTTCTGAATGGCTCTTTCGAACATCCACAGCTTGAGCCGGATAGATAGCTTAATTGTCGGATAGAGACTGTGTGCCTGGCTGTCGTGATGTTGCCTTCTGCCTTTTGGAACGCAGTAGTGTCTTGGCTGTAGCGACAAGCACATACTGTAAGCACATACTCTAAAGCATACACTCTGATGGACTGTGATTAAACTCAGTATACTGACCTCTCTGAGATTGAGCTGACGGTATAAGGTATACGGAACCGAGTGTCTGATCCAGTAATAGTCCATGTGTGAATAAATGGTCGTGCATGGTGGAAAGAATGATTCATGTTGAACTCCTCTGACTGGATTATGTGAACCAGGTGACTGACATCCGTGAGCTGACGGTTACGCTAAGCTGACCATATGTCCTGCAGTAATTGATCCAGAAGCATGTTGGATGCTTACGATTGTCGGTTGCCCTATGTCAACGTGATAGGTCGTGGGTTAGCCGTCCTTGCAGAGCAAGAGCCATATTCTAAGGATAAGCTCCTTGATTGGCGCTGTATTGAAGTCACTTCAATTCCAACATAAGCCAGCCCCATCTCAGTACTCTGATATCTAGCGCCTCACCGGAATGACTTATTTACAAGTCGAGCAAGCAGAGTGTCCAAAGACCCAGATCCGATCCAACTGCATCAGATATGTTGGCCAACATCGTGACCACAGGAACGCGAGATTAGTGTCATGCACGTACGCAGTCGCTCTCGACAAGCAAGCAACGAGGGTGACTTATGCACGTTACAATGCATTCATGTCTCAGGGGAGAGCTTGTCCTGATAGCCTATCGTCTCATTTGTTCTGCCCCAAGCTGACGAGAGCAGATTTCCCTGCATACTTCAATTGAGCGACCAGGATTGCTTGCCACACGCATCACCTCTGCTCCAGGTGAATATGACCAAGACAGTCGCTTGACAAGATAGAAACAGCTTCGTTGTGGCTGACAATGGCGCCCCAGCTCATGAAACGCTTGCCGCCGTTGACATGCACTTGTCAAACATTATCCCAGTCAGATCTCAAAGAGGGATATATGGACCGGTACCTACAGTTATTTGCCAATAATAAGAGCAGGGGTCCGTTCTTGTGAAGAAAGTACAGTACTCTACCTGTATGTGTGTGTGTGATGGGAAAGCGCCATATTGACGGCTGCGGCGCTACCTTTCACCTCTCTCGTACTCGTTCGCATCATCCCACCAGTCTCTACAGCGATTTATAGGTTGGATGTGATGTACGGTACGGTACTCTGTACATTACCTTTCGACTGGCATATCCGATGGCACCCCAGGGCATAGTGCCAGGAGGAACATCTGTGATATTATGCAATGTCGTCAGAGGTGTTCGAGAACCGTGAACGGGGCAACCTCTGCCACCAAGAGCTTCCCCCCACCTCCTCTTTCCTCATCTCATTATCACCATCAGCCTTGGTTGATATGTTGTGGTCGTGCAAGGTCGGGGTTGTTTTCCCGTTGCTTCCCCACCGGGGCAAGGGGCACAAACTTTGCGTCCAAGGTCAGAGTCGCCCAGAGTAGAAAGATTTACTCAATAGCGCATGTATACTAGCAAGATTTGACCAAAACTTGGGGTGTTGAGTAATTGAGTAGAATGTAGGTTTGCTTGAATCATGATGATAATGACGACGGTGATGTTTATCATGATGATGAACTAACTACCAACCAGTTCGTGTTGTTTACGTTGTGAGTACTAGGTGACTACCTACCCGTTCGGTAAGTTAATTAGAGCACCGGCGGGTGTAGTTAACCTTCCAACTGGGAGAGAGTGAGCGGTCCACGGTAACGACACCAACGGTCCTGCGCCTGGATCGGGAGTCGGGAAAAGAATACCGGCTACAAACGTTCATCGGATCAGAATCAGATCAGTCAAAACAAGGAACAACCCAAAAAAAGGTTCGAGACTCGGGCCCCGGGGCACACATCATTGACTGGATCTGTCTGTGCAGAGAGAGAGATTCAATGAACACGAATTCTTCAAATCTTGCTTGCTCGCACTCAGCCTCCCGCCGTGGCTTGTCGATAACAGATAGATAGATTCCCTACTCCACCAACAAGCCCCTTAAATCAACCCGGTCTCAGATGACAAGAAAGACATGAAGTCTCGACTTCCTCTGCCCCATCGCCCACTCCGACTTGTCCCCATAATACGATTGACAAGAGACAAACAGGCGTACAGGACGGTGTCTTGCTGAACTGCTGCAGGCCACACACCTTTTGACTGGCCTACCGGTTCTCTTCCCCCCCATCTGAAAGCCCCATTAGGGTCCGCAAGGCGCACGTACAGGACTTGACGTACTGCCAATGACAGACATGGCTGCGATGGAGCCCGTACGGTACCGCCTGCGCCTCTACAACCTTCTCTTCCAATAGTACTTCGTGTTGGACCAGTCAGTCCGTCAGAGGGCTGCGGAGGGCTCGTGCAGTCCCATCGCAGCGACAGGTCTGGCGGTACAAGGAGTACTCTGTACGTATTATTGCCGAAGCCCTTCTCTCTATCTATGGAAGTACGTACAGTACTATACGTGACTATGTACAGCACTTCCGACGTACATCCGTATCGATAGATAGCTCCACTCAACGTTTATGATAGTCTGGGTGGTCTTGACTAGAAGTAACTTTCTTTCCTTCGGATAGAAGCCGGAAAGCCCTCTTGGAGGATACTAACTCATAGTTAGTTAGTCGGTTGGTGAGTTGATTGAACAACTCCCGACTCGGTTAGTGTCAGCTGCTGGGCAAGGCAGTCAGTTACTATACTTAAACCTCTCGTTGGGTGGCGAAGAAAAGACGAGCAGAAAACAAGACGAAAGTCGTTCAAGAATAGTAGAAGAAAAAAATTCTGCAGTGATTTCTGGCGGCAATAGTTCAAGCATAGAGATTTATTTTTAGGGCATATTCTGCTTGTTGTTTTTTAATTTTTTTTCGTTTCCTGTCCTGCAATAATCCAGAAGTACGGATTGACTACTTGTACTAAGCTCACCACAGGTGGCTGCTTCGAGCTGCACCGGACAAGAAGAAGCAATCGACCGCAGTGACTGGAACCTAGAAATAATAAAAATCATAATAATAATCATAATAATAATAACTTTAGGGAACCGTCCAGTACGTACCAGTAATTCACGTCGGCTCGTCCCCATCCATCCGCTCGTGGATCGATATCCAGTCTGGGACATCGTCGTAACGGGCCGGTAAAAGATACGAGTGGTATTGTCATTCCTCTCCCAAATCCCCCTCTCTTCCTCTCCCTCTCCCTTCCTCTCCCTCCACTTCCCCCCCCAGCCAATCTGCCCACCACCACCACCAAACTAACTAAACTGACTGCTTCTCCCCTAATTCTCCTTCTCGCTACTTTCCCTCCAAGCTTCTACCTCCCCTCTTCTCCCTCCCCTCCTCCTCCCTCTTTGTTCCCCTTTTCTTCTCTTCCTTCCCATACTTTTCTCCAATGACTGGCTGATATCAGGTTCTCAGAGGGATCACCTAAGACCACTGGTTTCCGACCGATAATCAAGTGACTGTCGTCATCTCGTGATCTATCTAGCCCCGATTCTTGGATCGATCTCACCAGCACAGGCTATCTCTACCGCGGGTGATTCTGCAACCCGCCGCCTTTCCATCAACACCACCGCAACTCCCCCCCCCCGGTTTACCGCCCACCTTCTTTCCCCTCCAAAACCACCACCACCACCTCCTCCCCCGTCTTATTCCCTATCGGTCATTTCTACTCAATACCTATCCATCCAGTCAGTCATGCACAATAACTATCGTTAAGTGCGTCCAGCCTTTAATTGCGGGGGCTCATTACGAGCCAACTCTCGTTCATCCACCTGCTCCCTCGTCCGAGCGTCAATTGCGGCGATACCCGATGTTCGAAACCTTCGTGGCCGAGCCATTGGCTGTTGACACTCGATCTTCTACACTGCCGACTAAGAACAATACATTTGCAACCACCGTCGAGTACGCCGAAGAGCAAGTCACTACCCCCACAACAGGCCAGCGGAGTCGTGGTCACAGTTTATCGTTCCCAACCCGAGATCCCGCCGCCGATCAGTCGCTCAACCGACAACCTTCACCGATAAGAATGACGACCGAAGGCCGCTATACTCCCAGCCCCGAACCGCCGCCGGCGCTGTTCGTGCGTGCTATGTACGATTATGATGCCGATGACCACACCAGTCTCAGCTTCCGACGAGGTGATATCATCCAGGTGTTGAACCAACTAGAAACTGGCTGGTGGGATGGGGTTATCAACAACAGTGTGAGGGGCTGGTTTCCCAGCAATTATTGTACTGTGATCACCGATATTAGTGAGATCGAGGAAGAGCAGGTTTCGCATGGTCGCGACGAGGAGGAGGAGGATGCAATCGTGGACTCCGGCGCGGGCGAGGATTACGAAGAGGAACAGGAGGCCGATGAAGCCGATTTTGGTGGAAACTCGCGCGATTCGCAGCCGATCTTGCCCATTGAAGGCGCAACCGCGCCCAAGGAGCAGGAGGAGGCCGCTTTCTGGATCCCGCAAGCCACTCCTGACGGCCGCTTGTTCTACTTCAACACACTCACCGGCTACAGCACGATGGAGTTGCCGTTCGAAAACCCAACGGCCAACGAGACCGGCCCCTACGATCGGAACACAGTCATCGTGCCGGACCAGACCCGACCACCGCCGGAACTTATGGCCCGTGGGTTCGAACGCGACGAGGACGACTACGATGGTTCGGCGTCTGAAGCGGAGGGCGAGTCCCTGATGTTGACCTCTCGCGACTCGATGTCCCGGAGGCGCCAGTCATACCTCGATGGAGTGTCACCCGCGACATCCATGGATTCTTTGCACCCACCGTCCGCTACGAAGTCGGTTAGTGACGACAAGCTCTCATATCAAGCGATGCGCTGCGCGCAAAACTTCTACGGAGGCGCCCCGCCAAGTAGTAACAACTCCATCTCGGATAACATCCATCGGCCTTCGATCTCCATGGAAGTTCCCTCGCATTTCGTTGATGACGGTGCGTCGACTATTCTGACTTGGCCTTTGCTTGTCGAGAACATGCGGCAGGCCGTGGAAGCCTATCGACAGACCCTGATGAACGGCGACCGGTCGGAGTATGTGCGGAAGGCAGAAGACATTTCTGATCATCTACGCATGTTGCTGGCGGCTGGCTCGGACACGACGGACAACCATTCAGGCAACCCGTCAATCATCTCCACCAACAAAGCCCTCTATCCCCATTTCCGAGATATGATGTCTAAATTCTCCAAGTTGGTGCTCTCGTCGCATATTGCAGCAGCTGATTGGCCAGGTCCGGACTCTGCCAACAAGTGCTTACAAGAGGCAGATGGCGTGATGCAGGGTGTCTATGGGTTTGCTGAGGTCGCAAGGCAGCAGCGCGGCGACTCTATCAATCGCATTGTCCCAGGGTTCGTTGGTGGAAGCCATTCGGGCGGCTACTGGCAGAACAACGGTGTGCTACTCAGTGAACCTGGCCCGACTTCATTTCTGGATCAGGACGGTGGCGATATGCGAGCGGAGCCCTCTGTGCCTCTTGACGCAGCCCTGCTAGACAAGATCGATATCCTCCGGAGAAATTTTGTGGGCAGCATCCGTCGCCTGGAAGAACGTCTGACGCTCAACCAGAAGAAGATCGTCACCATTGTCGAACACGAAAACATCGGCAACCTGGTTTCAGCTGCTGCTATCAAGGTTGTCGACCAATATCGCCCGTGGATCTCGGCTGTCGAGTCGATTAACTTGGCACCCCTCGGAACCGGGTTTCAGAACCCCCAACTTGTCGATTTCAGTCTGCAAAAACAAAGAGTCTACGATGCAATCGCCGATTTTGTTGTGAGCTGTCAAGCGGTTACCGCGCCCCTTGGAGATGAGTGGGCTGAATTACGCGGCGATTCACTTGAAGATAGGTTGAACGCGGTTCGCAGCGTCGCGAGACAGCTGGAGAACTTCGTATCACAGATTGGGTTCTCGCTATCACTTCTTCTGGAGCAGGTTCCTGAGCCCACAACCGTTTTCCGCAGCGAGAGTCGCCTGGGTGGAGAGATTGAAAAGTCCAAGGTTATTCATAGCCGCGCAGAGTCTCAAACTAGAATTGCAACGGAATCAATCGGTATTCCGTCCTCGTACTCGATTGAGCACTCCACCGAGAAGGTGCGACGCAATATGGACAAGGCACAAAGATTCTTTGGACAAGCGCCACCAGCTGCAATTCCGCGGGAATCCGTGCGAGAGCCGGTTCGCGAGCCGGAAGAAACCCCTTGGTTCTTGAAGATGGATCACGAAGGCGAGGTGTTCTTCGATACCAAGAATGACATTCCCACTCTCAAGTGTGGCACTCTTGCCGGCTTAGTGGAGCAATTGACGCGCCATGACAAGCTTGATGCTTCCTTCAACAACACTTTCCTCCTCACCTATCGTTCTTTCACGACGGCGAAGGAGCTCTTTGAGTTGATCACACAGAGATTCAACATCCAGCCTCCTTTTGGCTTGAATCCAGACGAAATGCAGATGTGGGTCGACAGGAAGCAGAAGCCTATTCGCTTCCGTGTAGTCAATATCTTGAAGAGTTGGTTCGAGAACTTCTGGATGGAGCCGAATGACGCGGCGCACACAGCTCTGCTTGAGCATGTTCACTCGTTCACCAAAGACTCCATTGCAACCACCAAGACACCGGGGTCACCGCAGCTCCTGGCAGTCATTGAGCAACGACTCAAGGGTCAAGATACTACCGTCAAGCGCTTGGTTCCCACGCAGGCTACCGCAGCTCCGACACCCATCATACCTAAGAATATGAAGAAGATGAAGTTCCTGGATATCGATCCGACCGAGTTTGCCCGACAGCTTACAATCATCGAATCACGTCTCTATTCTAAGATTCGGCCTACGGAATGTTTGAACAAGACATGGCAGAAGAAGGTCGGACCGGATGAAGCTGAACCAGCTGCAAACGTGAAGGCCCTCATTCTTCATTCCAATCAATTGACAAACTGGGTCGCGGAGATGATTCTCACTCACTCTGATGTCAAGAAGCGAGTGGTTGTGATCAAGCACTTTGTCAACATTGCAGATGTAGGCATTCCCCTTCATAATCTCGGCTAGTACTAACCATTGTCCAGAAATGTCGCGCGCTTAACAATTACTCCACCTTAACTTCTATCATATCCGCTCTAGGGACGGCGCCGATTCACCGTCTGGGACGCACATGGTCTCAAGTCAGTGGACGCACATATACTGTGCTTGAGCAAATGCGTCGCCTGATGGCGAGCACGAAGAACTTTGGCGAGTATCGGGAGACATTGCATCTGGCAAACCCACCTTGCATTCCATTCTTTGGTGAGCAGGTTTTGATCGAACAAGGCTTTTTGAAAAGTCTTGATTAGGTGGTGATCAACAGTGGCTGACAGATGATCAGGTGTCTACTTGACCGACTTAACATTCATCGAGGACGGTATTCCATCTTTGACCCCATCCGAGCTGATTAACTTCAACAAGCGCGCGAAGACGGCAGAAGTGATCCGCGAAATTCGACAATATCAGAACGTCCCGTACCTTTTGCAGCCGGTCCCAGAGTTGCAGGATTACATTCTCAGTAATCTGCAAGCGGCGGGCGACGTGCATAACATGTACGACCGAAGTTTGGAAGTAGAGCCGAGAGAGAGGGAGGACGAGAAGATCGCGAGGTATGCTGCTAACAATACTCCTATCGCTCCCACCACTGCACGCGCCAGTCCTACCACAGGAAATGGCAACAACAACCTCAACACTGCCAGCATGCGTACTTTGACCTTCGCGAGCATGGTCGTGTTAACACGATGATAATGTCAACCTGTGTTCTGGCTTCTTTTGCCATTCCCCTGCATTTGTTCCGCTACCCGTGAGGCCATGACCACTCACTTGGGAAGTATGCGCATGCTGCTGAGGGACCGTTATGCATTCACAATTTCTGATTGAACGATCGAAGACTAACGATTTTGGTTTCTAACACGTAGACTCCTATCTGAATCGGGCTTTTTGTAAACCGCCGCTTTACCGCTTCTCCGTCGGGGCGTCTTATCGGGCCAGGCGTGGTGCAAGGCCAATCCTTGTCGGTGTCACAATTGCTACGTGCGCTTGGACGTGACCGCTCCTTTCACCAGTCAAACTTTGAATTGAACTGCCAGCAGCAATGAGCCTATCAGATGCGCTCAGCCGACCCCCTGATGGCGTGATAAGCAAGGGTCGGAGTTGCATACACATACATCCACCCCAACCGCGCCGCACAACCTTATCTCAATCAGCCGAGCCTATCAAGGTGTTTGCCGTCCACCACCACTTATCACATCAATGGATCACAGCCAAGGTGGCAATTCCCCCCCCCCCCCTGCACTCTATTTTCGACGCTATCGCATATTGCGCCAACCCTGGTGTCGATTTCGCTCCTGTGGCGTTATAGCTCAATTTGAGCGGGAGAATCTGACATGCTGCTTTCAACTGAAACAGTGGGCTTGGATGGTACTATCCATGCGTCCTTACGGCTAGTTGCAGCGGGGAAGTTGGAAAGGTCCACCTTGGCACTGCTGAGCTTTCAAGAATATTGGATCAGGAAAATCAATTCTACGATCTACTTGCCGCTCCGCCTCTCATCGACAATAAAAGCAAAGTCACAAAAAAACACAAATACGACTGGAACGCCCAGGCGGAATCCCACGCCGGGAAGCATGTACAAATTCAACGAGTGTTGTTATGAACGACGCCGACGAACCTCGATCACGACATAGACTTTATCAATTCTGCCAGTCTCAGTCCCTGTCGTCTTTTCCACCTACCTGACTGAGGGCCTCGTTCTTTTCTTCGACCAACGTCAATTCGACATGACCTTGCAATTTCCTTTGTTCCTTCCCTGTCACCTCAACGGCTCTAGCAGTCCTCCCTGCTTTCTATTTCCTTTCGGCAATTGATCGACTCAAACATTGATCATATCTTTCTACCATATATGTTGCTTGTACAGTGATCTGGCTTCCTTCGCTTCTTGTACGCATACCGACGATCCTGTGATCTCTCACCTGGTGTTGATCGTCTTCCCACGAAGGGTCTTACTCATTGTTCGGATTGATGAATAATATGTCATGACACATGTTGCACAGGCATGTGATCTTTGTTGGAACGTGGTTCCAACTGTGATTTTACCTTTCTATGATTGTCACCTGTACTTATCTGTTCTACTACCGAGGATGTACCTCATATTTTAGTGTATAGACCATATCAATGGCGCTCACCCGCCAGGGCTCAAGAATAAGCTCCGTGCTAACAGAGATGCGCAATGAACGAAGTGTAGATGTCAACGCCGCTCCAGTAGCTTTACCCTTCCTGGATTGGTGGAGTTAGTGAGCCACAGTGGGACGAGGCTGGCGGTTTATTTTTGTTACATTTTGTCTAGAAATTGAGAGCAGGCATAAGTCATTCCACCTTATCACTGAATAAAAGGCTTGTCTGAATCATCTGGGCTGCGGCGCTGCATCTGTGGCTTCTTCCTGTCCGATGTTTTGAAATAGCTTCCTCTTCACCTCTGCGGCGAGCAGCCCTTTGACCTCCTCCGACGCAATCCGCTGTCCGTCCCGAGCGATACGGTCGAGCTGGGGATCCCGGACCTGCGTCACATTGCCTCGAGAAACATTGCCCTCCATGCCGCGCGTGGCGCGCCGGACCTTCTGACTGAGATCCATGATCTGCTTACTCCCGTAGTCCTGGGAGGCGAACAGCGGGTTCTGGCTGAGGGTAGCCACCCAGTACTTATTCCACAGCAGATCCAGCATCTGGGCATCCAGCGTACTCTTGAAGATCTCCACCTCGAGCGAGTAGTAATGGGAAGCATGGGCGCCGAAGTCCTCCGCCTTACTCAACGGCACCGACTGATACCCTCCAGCCCCACTGGCCGCACCAACCCCATCCTCCCCATAATCCTCCTCCTCCCCCTGCTGCTGCTGCTGCTGCTGCTGCTCCCCCTTCGACGGCACATAATCCTTCGGGAACGTCCGAAACGCCCCGATGTCCACCTTCCCGGCCGAGATCGTGCGCTCGGGATCAATCACCACCGCCACAAACGGTCCCCCCAACTGCTGCATATCCTGCGTCGTGACATCAATCCCCGACAGCCAACACCCGTACCCGGGGTGACTGTGGTACCACCCGACGGCGTTCTCCATGCGGCCCGCATCCCGACACGACTGCAGGTACGACACCATGTACTCGTTGGCCTCCTCCTGGGCGTTCACCCGCGTCTCTGTGCCTTCCACCGGCAGCCGGTAGGCGTCCGTCACCACGAACGTCTCCGGCAGGATGTACCCCTGCATCAGGCCCATGACTTCGAGTGACCCGCCGGACCGCGCGTGCATGACCATTTTGAGCAGCGCCAGGGCCGAGATCCGGACCGTCTTGAAGTAGTGTGGGTCTTTGGCCCAGGGGCGTTGCGCGGAGAGCGTTCGGTGCGTTTCTTCCGAGTAGGCGTAGAGCGTGTCGCGGTGGGGGTCGATTAGGGTGGTTAAAAAAAAAAAAAAAAAAAAAAAAAAAAAAAAAAAAAAAAAAAAAAAAAAAAAGCGGAGATACTAACCCCAGGACCGCAGAGCTGCTTGTTCCATGGTGGGCTGGTGTGCTTGCGGTGGTGTGAGATTAAAGGAGGGACGGTTGAATTATGAGGAATGGAGCTTCCAACAAGCTTAATTGCGGGATGATGATGTCGACCGGGACATGAGATAAGATGAGGGGAAAGAGGGGGGTGAGTTGAAAGTGAGTTGAGTTAGTTTACTTATCGGTGACAGCATTGCGGAATGCGGAGACATCCCAGAAAGCGGCGGCGGCGGCGGCCTGGAGGGCGGTGAGTATTGTCCGGCAGAGTCCCGGCAGATCCGGGCGGTCAACCGCTGAATCAGCGGTTGCTGCAGAAACGGGGCGGGAACGTCAAACAAGGCGGCGAAGGGCAATCGAAGCTGAGCGGGCGGGATTTCCCCAGCGCGGGAAAGGGAAGGCCAGCCAGCAGTCCACGGTCACTCAGGGCAGTCCTCGATTAATTGTTGTCCCCCCTCGATCTATCGATCCTCTACATCCACATCCACACCACACCCACACCCACACCAACACCACATCCACCCCAGTCACCCTTGCATCTGCTTGCAGCCGCGGACTCTCGTTAATAAAATATACGGGTTGTGTCTGGTTCTTGCAGATGCCATTCCACTTTCTGTGATCCCTTCTTTTCCTTTCCTTTCTTTTCCCGTACTGCCCTGTCCGCCTTGCAGACTCTGTTGCGGTCTTCCCGCGGCAAATCCTGACAGGTGAAAGGCGCATTGTCGCCGCAGATCTTATATGACGGTGGATCGCGAGTTCGCTCCAAGGCGATCGGCTCCGTCAAGTGGGTTGCGCGTAAAATCGCAATCGCTCTAAAGCAAACTTCATACCCGGCGCTTGCACATCACCCGATCCACCTAGGCTTGGGCGGACCATCTCATTCGCAATGGCCGTCGATACCAGCTACCTGACCACCCAGGTCAACACTATCGTGTCGGAACTACATGGTATCTACGATGACATCGGTGTTCCGAGCCATGAGCGCGACGCGCGTGAGGCAGAGGTTCGTTGGCCCCCATCCGCATCAATCCTCCCTACGGTGATCGTTTGCGACTGACATGACCGAACCCCCCTTTCAGCTCTTCAGTGCTTTGTCGGAAACGCTGAACAACCACCTCAAACTCGTGGACACGTAAGTAATACACACTGCGCGATGAGAACCGAATCAATTCAATTCACCCTGTTGTTTTTGCCAAGAACGGGCGGCTAAATCTTCGACTACAATCAGTGAGAAGAAAGAGATGGAGGAAGAGGCGCAGCGACTCATCACCGCCATTCAACACATGGAACACTCCCTGGTGGATGAGAAGGCCAATGGACAGTACAAGCTCGATCACAATGCCTTGCGCGTCAGCTACCCGCTCAACCGTTGTTTGGCGTTCCTGCGCGAGGAGCACGGCGCGTTGAGCAAATTACACAAGGAGCGTTTCGAGCAAGTGAGGAGTAAGTTTGCTTTGTTGTTCTTCGCGCGCGAGAGTAGGAGACCCGTCGGACTGACTGGTGCAAAAAGAATTGGTAGAGGCCCTTGAATCCTACGCGTCGCATCTCGAAGCAACATTTGTCACCATCGAATTGCCGCCGACAGCACCGGGAACCACGATTTCGCCGAGCTTCGATCTTTCCCCGTCCTATGTCACCGCCCTGGACGACGAGTTTACGAGAGTCTACGAAGAATATCATCGACGCTTGGAGTTCGTCAAGACCACTTGCGAGGAGATAATCAAACTGTGGGCTGAGCTTGGTACCCCCCAAGTGCAGACCGACACGAACATCGTCAAATATTACCGGGAGGCGCCTGAGCAACTCGGTCTTCACGAGTCGGATCTGAACAACCTGAGGGCGAAACGCGAGAAGCTGCTGGAAGAGAAGAGAGGTCGGGAGCGCAAGCTAAAGGACCTAAGGACCGCGGTGGAAGCACTCTGGGAACGATTCGGCATTGAGGAGGGCGATCGCAAGGAATTCCTCGCTGCCAACCGTGGTTGTGGGCTTCGCACTATCAACGAGTTTGAGGAGGAATTGGGTCGTCTCAACGAACTCAAGAGCCAGAACCTGCACCTCTTCGTTGAGGATGCCCGGGTCCGGTTGCAGGAGCTATGGGATGCGCTATACTTCTCGGAAGAGGAGATGATCGATTTCACCCCTGCCTTTTCCGACGTGTTCAGTGATGCTCTCCTTGAGGCCCATGAAGGCGAGATCGCGAGACTGGAGACCCTGAAGGCACAGCGTGCGCCAGCTTTGGCACTCATTGACAAGCACCGGAGCCTCTTGGCGGAACGCGAGGCTCTGGCTATTTCCAGTCAAGATGCTTCTCGTCTCATGGCGCGTGGCGCGAAGGGGGAAAGACGCGATCCAGGCAAGCTGTTGAGAGAAGAGAAGATGCGAAAGCGAATCGCCAAAGAATTGCCGAAGGTCGAGGTTGATCTCCGGAAAGAGCTGGAGAAGTGGGAAGAAGATTACGGCCGGCCGTTCCTCATCCACGGAGAGAGATATCTGGACGAGCTCACCCCAGCCGTTGCCAAACCTCCTCCACGATCCAAGACTCCCTCCGCTGCCCCGGCTAGTGCTACCAAGCGGAGCACTGGCCAGATGCAGCCACCATCGCGCCCTGCGAGCGTGATGAGAGGGGCCCCACCCCCACGCTCCACAAGCAAGACCCCCACTGGAAACCGCCCTCCAACAAAGTACAACACCATCGGCCCTTCGCGAGCGCCTTCCAGAGCGGGTACTAAGTCTCCCTCCAAGATCCCAGCCCGAGTTCCACTTGGGAACATGCCTCTTGGAAACAATTCCCCCAACCGTCGCGCAGTTCCTGGGGCCTATTCCTCGAGCACAATCAACGGCAAAATCCCAGCACCTCGGCCGCCTCCACCCAGAATGCGGGCCTTGACTGGCGGTGAATCGCGAGAGGAGCGCATGTCCTATCTCTTCGACCCTCCACGGAGCGCTAGCGCGTTGTCGAATACCTTTGTCCGGCCGGTCAGCCCTGAAGACGTATACGATGACCGCAACCAGCGTTCTTTCGTCAGCTCGTCGGCGTTCTCTCAGCGGTCCACTGGATTCTCTCGATCATCGCACTCATCGGCCTCGTCGTTATCCTCCTCCATGCAAGGGTTCCCTAAACCCAATCCCTATCTGCAGCGCGCAGCCCCGCCCCCCGCTCCAGCCCCCCGACAAGTATCTAGTACGTCGACCGTCATTACGGCAACTACCGGATCAGAGAATTGGGAAACCTTTGACTCTGGTGATGAGTCGGAAGCCGATGCTAGCGATGTCTATTACGCTAAACTCCGTGCGGCTCACGGGAAACGCCTGCTGGCTCCCGAAGAAACTCCCATTCTTTCGCTCGGAGGAAAGAAAGCTAAAGGCATTCGAAGTGTCAGCCCTGACGAGCCTGCTGACATCCAGCATAGACAGATGATGCATGCAGGTGGAAGCGACAATGAGTGGACAGATGATATGGAGCCATACTGAAGCATCAAGGGGCCCATCGCTTGCCCCACCTACTCGACACCCTCATCTTGAGCCAACAACGCGGCCATCGGGTTCTTCTGATATTTACCTGTTCCCCTGCCGATCCACCCCGGCAGTCTCTCGCTTGAGCTTCCATGCCCTTTCCTCAGGCAACGTAATAAAGTGCTGCTCAACGCCCCTAATCTTCTTTGTTGAAATTCTTCGAGATTATACCACGCCGTTATGCTGTTGTTGCGTTCTGTTTGCTTCAGCCTTTTGCACTTTACTTGTTGTGGTGTCCAGATCATCTGCGATGCCCATCGACCGACCCACTTCACTGCGTGATCGAGGTCCCAGCCCAGTACAATCCATTTACTACACAACGAACGACATGACTTGGATGCCGTCACGAGTTGCACCCCTACGTGTTGCACTCCCCAAAAAGCTCTCTATCACATTTGGAGCCAAACCACTCGACTTCTTGTACTATGGTTATGTTATCTTCTGTTTGAATACTGCTGCAACTACCTTCCCTTACAGGACATAGTCGATATTGGGGGTGTCTTTCCTTTGTGAGACTACATAGCATCCCAGTGACTTCCTCATGATGACCACTGCAACTGTCTATGGGGGATTTTGCTTGTCTTATACTTGCGAGCTCTGTCCCTCTCTCTGTTTACTATCTTCTTGGTGTGGCTGTCTTGCTTTGCATGTGATATCGTGTACACGTCGCCTGACATGCAACCCGCTTTTTTTTCCTTTGTGTCGTTTCTGATTTGGTTCTAATATCAGCCTTACGCCACTGTTTTAATTAGCTTTTTAGTTTGTGATTCAATACATTCATACTTGAATTTGTTTTGAAGTCTATGGCAGAGAAAGAATTAGTCCCGCGGGGAAGTTTCTAGTTGGTTAAAGCTACTGTGGTTCCGCGGTATAACGAATTTGCAGGACATTCGCAATGGTTTTCGAAGTTGTGATAGCGATGATCCACAGTCCTTTTGCATTCTGCCTAGCTGTTCCTAGTTGTCGAGACAGATTAAAGGACGCACTCCTTGTCCACCAGTACAGCATACCAAGCCAATTGAGAATAGCCATCACTGAACATAGTAGTGGAGTTACACTTCTCGAGATATGCTCAAAGGATGCTCAATAGCAGCACAAGTGGAAAGAACCGCTATGCAAGGTGAGACCTACCAACCAACCCAACTGGTGGCGAAGAGGTGCAATGGATAAAAACCCAATCCGCAATCCTATTACATATTGACAATTTGTGATAATCCCCAAGCGGATAGAATTCGGTCGATATACTCGGCGAGGGGCGATCGCTATCTCGAAGAATCTCAATAGCCCACCGTTTCTGGGAATGTAGAAATTAACTCGACTTTGACTGGTCCTTGGCCGCTCGCTGATGGGTTTTATGCTAGCCAGTCAATGCCCGTCCACTTGGCGGAATACTGTAGAATTGTCCGTAGAACTCGTCTTGATGCTGAGCTTCCAGCGGCCTGTCTGGCCTGCGATGGGATCGAGATTTTTCTCCCGCCACGGGTATGCTTCGAGTTGATCTTTCTTTTGTGAAAAGATTCTCCCAGCCCAGCAGAATACACTTTGGCTGTCCGGGCTTTGCAGGGAAAGGTTGCGGCGCGGCTTGGAAAGTCGATCCATCTGGGGTAGGGTTAGTCTCAGACAAGACATAATACGGAAAGGGGGGGACGGGGGAAGAACAAAACAGAAACGAAAAAAAGACTTACTGCCCATGCAGGAGTGATGGAAGCACGACCATGTCCTACACCCTTTTTCATTCCTTCATCTTTTCCTTGCTGGGGCCCGGTAGTACCCAGCCAACCCCGTTTCGTGTAGCATGACTCAAGAACGGGGAGTAGATTTGGCGATTCTTGTATCTTTTGGTTCGGATCTCGCGTGATAAACTCTTGGCTTGGCTTGAGGAGTCGAGTCTTGTATACTAGATTGATAGAGAAATTGCTCAATGGATAGCTGCGTATTGTAAACGGAGCCGCTTTTCTGGGAAAGCTTTGTCATATGGGAATGAATCCAGGATACCAAAAATTGTGGTTGGCTTCTCTGATTTGATGGGAGGATGGAAGATTGTTTGGAGGAAGGAGAAGAGGAATGGAGAGAAGGTGGCTCGTTTCTTTTTTATGTGTATAGATAGGATTTTACATTCCCCCATATACGTTCACTGATTTTGTGTACATCAATATGGAACCTTGAATGGAGTCTACAGGGGAGGGACATATTCACCTAAAAGCCAGAGGACTTGATGAATGTGCTTGGTAGGCGGGGAGCTTCACTATCCGAAAGGGCGGAGGACTGACTTGCATCGGGGAGTTAATGGATAGATCATGTCTCCTATCGATGAGTAGTTGGTCTGAAGAACTACACATACTTGTGGTTGTGGTGGTTGGTGGTTCATGTTGTGGGGCTTCCCCGGGAGATCCACACGGTCCTACGGAGTACCCGCTATAACTACAATTCTGCTCAACTCGGGCTTCGATTCTCGCACTCGGGTTTGGGTTTTCCTGGAGGGTGCTCAGTGAGGGGAGGGCGTAGATGTATAAACAGCAAAAAGACAGCAAAAAGGGCAGATAGTATACATCTACATACAGAGACATACACATGTCTGGTCTACTACCTGTCTATCTATCATACACACACATACACACGCACACGCATACAGCACGTGCATTCCCTGGCCGCGTTGGAACTCAGTCTTCGACGAGGGAGGGTATCTCGGTACCGTTCAAGCCCACGGCTCATCTCCTATCCTTTCGTCCAGCAACCCCTAGACCTACCACAGAGGAATGCGAATCAAGAACTCTTGGGCGCAAGCGACCCCATCCACGAACTATCCTTGGGCTCAGTCGCCGCTGCCGCTGCCGCTGCCGACTCCTGCGGCCCCTTATACCGCTTCACCCCACGGTTCGGGACCAACTCCAGCGTCAGGTCCTTGGCATCCTGCAACCGCCGCACCGTCTCCTCGCGTCCCAGCACGACCATCGTCTCCGGGATCCCGGGGCCCGGTGCTCCGCCGGACAGCGCCCACCGCAGGTAATGGTACAGTTCCTTCTTGAAAAACTTGTCCGCTGCTTTGCGGGCGGCCTCGTTTTCTGGTTGCTGGTGCTGGTGCTGCTCTTCTGAGATAATGGCGGACGACCCATCGTAGGCGGCGATATTGGCGCGGTGGGTGTCGAGCGTCCAGTGGCTGGGGGGCACAAGAGTGAAAGCCGTGGCGGCCGTGTGGAGGGCGGAGAGCGGAATCGCGGCGGCGGTGGGCGGGTAGGTCGCCGACGGGGAGGAGGCCGGCGTATAAGGCGGGCGGGTCAGGGTCGCCGCCGGTTGGAAGAAGGTGGCGTTGCGCGCCAGGAAGTCTTCCGGTTTGGTGTAGGATTTGGCGTCCGCTTGGAGGAGTGGGATGATGTAGGATGTGAGGGAGCGGGTTTGGAGGATGGGAGCGCTATGGTTTGTAAGTGGTTGGTTTGTTTGTTTGATGATGGAGGGTGAGAGGCAAGACGTACAGTTGCTCTGGAGGGTAGGTGGCTTCGACGGCCGTGGTGAGTTTCTGCACCATCTCTTGGAATTCTGCGCTCTCCGGCGCGGAGGCGAAGCGCTGCGCGTGCGCTTTCTGGAGGAACCAGAGCTTTTCGAAGGCAACGACGGTGTTGCCGCGGGTGATTTTGAGGTTGAACTGGTTTGCAGGGTTTAGGGTCAGCTTGATGTGCTGCGTACTGGTGGGATGAAAATCTTTAGGACAAGACTTACGAGTTGTTCTAGTTCTTCGAGGCTGAAAATATCGGATTTTTGAGCGTGTGACCATCCCAGAAGGGCGGCGAAATTTACGAGAGTCGCGGCGAAGACGCTCTGCGTGTCTTTGAAGAAGCTGAGATCGATGTCCGCATTGCGCTTGCTAAGCTTCTGGCCGGATCGGTCCACGAGGAGAGGCACATGTCCGAAGTGAGGCGGGGTCCATTGGAAGGCGTTGTAGAGAGCAACGTGCATCGGGGTCGAAGCCATCCATTCCTGGTAGTTCCTCCATTAGATTTTGCTTCGAGTTGGCAATGCGGGCCGCGTAGCTTACCGTGCCACGAATAACATGCGTGATCTTCATGAGGTGATCGTCCACCACGTTTGCCAAGTGATATGTCGGGTGCCCATCTGACTTGAGCAGGATGGGATCATCGTACACCCGCTCGATGAGGTCCAGCTTGTTGGTCGGCCGGTTCTGTCCCGTCTTGCCGTAGACCAGGTCCTGAAACATGGGGTATCCTTCCACCTTCAGCCGGATAACATGCGCCTCGCCCTTGGATGCCTTTTCTGCGGACTCCTCGGCGGAGATTTCAGCGCATTTCCGGTCGTATCCCGGCGCAAGTCCTGCTTCGCTGCGATGCCGTGCGTGCGCGTCCAGTCGTTCTGCAGAGCAGAAGCAGCGATATGCGTGGCCTTTATCGACCAACTCGTGGGCGTGCTTGCGATAGGTTTCGGTTCGTTCGGACTGCGACGGGCCAAGAGCGTTAGCTTCCACTTTAAAAAAGGCACATCAATCTGCAGACTCACCTGTCTGTAAGGACCGTATGGGCCCCCAACGATCGGACCTATTGCGACCCGCCTTCTGTCAGTATGCATCGCATGACTGCGCGACATACAATACACAAGTGCTGACCTTCGTCCCAATGTAACCCCGCCCAGCGAAGATCATCGTAAAGCCTCTGCTCGGCCCCCGGAATCGTACGTTTCTATATGACATCCATCGTTCAGCCCACAGGTCTCACGATTGCCGTGTTTGAGCCTCGAACCTGGTCGGTATCTTCAATGCGAAGCAAGAATTGGCCGCCGGTGCGCTTGGCCAGCAAGTAGTTGAACAATGCCGTTCGCAGGGATCCGAGATGAAGATAACCAGTGGGCGACGGCGCGAAACGAGTTCTAGCAGGGCCGTCGGGGAGATTGGTCTTCTTGTTGTTGCCCATGCGGAGTTTGGAGCTGGGCGCGGCGGCGACGGAGGAGTAACCGGCGCGACATTGCGTGCAGATCCATGTCTGGCGCGCCCGGAGGCTGGAGATCGGTCGTCGCAGCATCATGGCCAAGAGTTGTCAAAATGCCCCACGATCACAGGGGGCGCGCAATGAACAAACAAAGCAATAGGGAAAGATGTGGGGAGGAGATGCGAATCAGTAAAGTAAGAAGCTCGGCGGAGGTGAAATTAAATCCGACCGCAAAAAAGGCGGACGCGGAAATGCCGGACATGTGATTGGCCTCATCCAGCGGCAATAAATTATTATCACAAGCTTTACTTTTGCCGTTGTTTTTCCCTTCTCGCTTGCGCAGTCTTATCCCCCCAGAGACAAGATTTCCTTCCCCCGGCTTGTCGTTTCTTGCTCGGTGTCGTCATTGCACTGTTCTCTGCTTGAATTTCACTTTCTCATTTTTATCCCACTGATACCCCAGTCTTTGTGTTTCTGCTTTGTTCGTCACTCGGGATTCTTACCCGCCACCGCCTGCCAGTACGTTATCCAGGAAATTTTCATTGATTTGAAATCGCTATGCTGACATGCTGCAGTGTCTTCTAAGGTTGAGATTGATCTCTACGGTATATTACCGAAGCTACTCGAGATACGAGGGGAAAATATCAGCCAGCGACTAATCTTTCCGTGCTTTTGCAGAGGTCCTCGAAATTTCCAGCTCCGCAAGCAAAGAAGAAATCCGCAAGGCGTACCGCAAGGTGAGACAGGATGTCAAATGTCATTGTGCACAACTAGCTCTGACAACTTATCTCGGCATGACTTAGGCCGCGCTTGCCAACCACCCGGACAAGGTTCCCGAAGCCGAGCGAGAAGCCGCAGAGGTCCGCTTCAAGGCCGTCCAGGAGGCCTACGATATCCTCTACGATGAAGACAAGCGCCACCTCTACGACACCCATGGCATGAGTGCGTTCAACGGTTCTGGTGAGCCGGGGATGGGGCCAGGCGGCCCGGATCTCGATGACATCCTTGCGCAGATGTTCGGTGGGATGGGCGGCATGCCTGGCGGCATGGGTGGCATGCCCGGCGGACCTCAGGCGCGCAAGCCCCGCCGGAGTGCGAATGAGGAGCAGAAGTATGAAGTCAGCTTGGAGGATCTCTACAAGGGCAAGACGGTCAAGTTCTCGAGCACCAAGAACGTCATCTGTTCTTTGTGTCGGGGCAAGGGTGGCAAGGAGCGCGCTACGGCCAAGAAGTGCGCCACTTGCGACGGACACGGTATGCCTGCCTTCTGTGTTCATGCAGGTTCATTCTGAGCTAATTGCTGTGTGCTGTAGGTGTCAAGCAGATCCTGAGACCCATGGGCCAATTCCTCTCTCCTACCATGGTGACCTGCTCTACGTGTAAGGGACAGGGCGAGTTCTTCAGCGACAAGGACAAATGCAAGAAGTGCAAGGGCCAGAAGACGACCGAAGCGAAGAAGTTGTTGGAGATCTACATCCCTCGCGGGGCGAGGTAAGCGCGTGTGTCTGGACTGCTCGGGAAAGATGGCTAATGTTTACGTCTAGGGAGGGCGACAAGATCATCCTGGAGGGCGAGGCTGATGAGGTGCCGGGTCAAGAACCCGGAGATATCATCTTCCACTTGGTCGAGGAGGAGCACCCGGTGTTCAAGAGAGCCGGTCCCGATTTGACAGCAGAGATCGATGTCACGTTGGCCGAGGCCCTGACCGGTTTCTCCCGCGTGGTGATCAAGCATCTCGATGGCCGTGGAATCGAACTCAAGCACCCCAAGGTTCCTGGACAAGTGCTTTCCCCCAACCAGGTCTTGAAGGTCCCTGGCGAAGGAATGCCGATCAAGCGCGGCGACGCTCGTGGTGATCTGTACCTGATCGTCAACATCAAATTCCCCGATGAGACGTGGAAGCCTACGCCGGCGGTTCTGGAGCAGCTCAGAGAGATGCTACCTAAGCCGGATGCCCCCATTCCCGTCGAAACGGTGGATGAGATCGAGTATGATCCCAAGGGAAACATTGAGGACTTCGGAGCTCATGACCCGGAGGGCGGATCGGCCTGGGAAGACGACGACGAGGAGGGCGAGACTGCGCAATGCACGACCCAGTAGTGGCGGCATTTTTCACGTTCTTTGTTTTCTATTGTTATTCTTGCGTTTTTGTTGGACCTCGATACCTATTTTGTTGGGTCCATCTCATGGTGATAGACTTGCTGGTTATGTTAGATCCGGCTCCACTCTGGCATCATGGGCGTTACAGGATTGACCTCCCATGAACGGATGAATGAAAAAGAACAACTTGATGATTCCAACTAGACAAGGTGTTTTTGTTTTGGAGGGGTGCGATATGATGGTGCGTCATAGGCAATTGGGGGGGGGGGGGGGGCAGCCCACTCTCTCCTCTCTGCGCGGGGAAAGCGTGGGATGTCATTTAGTCAGTCAGTAGTGGTTAACGTTACAACTCAGCGCAACTGTCTCACTCTCTCGTCCGAGACTAGACCACGCCGCTCTGTGCGTGTGGGAATTCCCCTCCCCCACAGCACCGGTCCTGAAGAACAAAATCACTCGAAAGAAGCAACAACAGTCACCACACTCAGCTAGAGCATGGAGCGTGGAGCGTGAACGAAGCTGGAGAGTCCGGCGACTCCAACGTAACCCCCACCCTCTGATCCGCCCAGAATCCGGGATAGCGTGGGGTAGCCAAACAGAAGGGAAAATCAATGACTCGGATGGAAAACCAAACCCGGAACCGAAAGCCACGCGATCGGGGTTTCCAGCTTGGAAGTTCCCCAAATTCCACCTCTTCTTTTCTGGTTCTCTAATCTTGTCAGGCTGTCTCTTGGGACTGATCAATTAATAAGAAATTTAAAAGGTAACCATTCCCCTCCGCATACAACCCGGACATTCTTCCTTTTGTTCTCCTCTTCCGAAAGTCCAGCCGATTTTCCACCCCCGCACCCGGGTTGGCTTATCTACGTACTGCGAGTACAACTGTAACTTGCTGTCCGTCTACGACTCGGAGGTTCTGGCCCGAGGGCATTCGGCACTGGCAGTTCGGGGTCTCTCCGATTTGAGTCACGGGTGAGTCTTGGCGGGGATTCCTACTTGATATACCGTGTCTATATATATATAAACTAGACGCGGACGTGCAGTACTTACTGATTGGCAGAAGTTCTAGTCTCATATACTAATACGCCTTTCGCATTTCACATCCCCAAAAGATGCCGTGCGGGTCCCAAGCGGCCTGCGAAGGTTGCTCCTGCAGCGCCAGCAATGGCACCCCCGCACCTGTCAACATCGAGGACTGCGAGTCCGAGCTGCTGGCGCTTCGCAAGCGGACCATGGAGCTGGAGAAGACGTTAGCGACGATGACCAAGGGCGGTGGTGGTGGTGCGGGCGGCCCCAAGCGGGGTCGGAGACTACGCTCCGCGGACTGGTTCCGGTGCGAAGAGGACCCGGGCATGATGGCGCTGTACATCGAGCGCTATCTCAACTACGGGATGACTCGCGAAGAGTTGATGTCCGGCAAGCCCATCATTGGCATTGCGCAGACGGGGTCGGACTTGGCCCCTTGCAATCGGCACCACCTGGAACTCGCGAAGCGGGTTCGGGAGGGGATCAGATCGGCGGGGGGCATTGCGTTCGAGTTTCCCACCCACCCCATCCAGGAGACGAGTCGACGCCCCACGGCGTGCATTGATCGCAATCTGTCGTATCTGAGCCTCGTGGAGGTCCTGCATGGGTATTTCTTGGATGGGGTGGTGATGCTCACGGGCTGTGACAAGACGACCCCCGCGTGCTTGATGGCGGCTGCTACTGTGGTATGTTTATCACTTCCGTGATTGCGCATGGGGAGGATGGTATGGTGCTGACGCTGCTGAAGAATATCCCAGCCATCTGTATGAATGTCGGCCCCATGCTCAATGGGTATGTCAAGAACGAGCTGGCGGGTTCGGGCATGGTGGTCTGGAAGGGCAGGGAGAAGTATGCCGCCGGGGAGATCAACACAGAACAATTTGTGGACTATATCTCTCGAGGGTACGTTGTGGATGTTCCTATATGTGATCACTTCTCACCATATGTGCAACAGAACACCGTCCGCGGGACACTGCAACACAATGGGCACGGCGTCGACGATGAACGCCTTGGCTGAAGCCTTGGGCATGGCGCTGCCTGGCTCAGCCGCCATTCCTGCTCCTTATCGCGAGCGAAGCCAATGCGCATATGAGACTGGCGTCCGAATAGTAGAGATGGTTCATTCCGATCGCAAACCGAGCGACATCATGACGAGGGAAGCTTTTGAAAACGTGATAGCGGTGAACACGGCCATTGGGGGTAGCACCAATGCTCCCATCCACATCAACGCCATTGCAAAACACATAGGGGTTGACCTTTCCCTTGATGACTGGGATCGTCTAGGGTTCCATATCCCCCTCCTCCTGAACATGCAGCCTGCGGGGGAGCTGCTGGGCGAAGAATATTACCGTGCAGGCGGACTGCCCGCGATCATGGCCGAACTGCTGGACGCAGGGAAGCTGAACGCAGAAGCCATCACATGCAATGGTCATACAGTAGCGGAGAATGTGCGGGGGAAACACACCTGGGACCGTCGGACGATCCAGGCTTATGACGACCCGATCCTTCAAGATGCCGGGTTTCTCCACCTGCAGGGTACGCTGTTCGAGTCGGCCATCATGAAGACCTGTGTGATATCGGATCAATTCAGGAAGAGCTTTCTGGAGAACCCCACCGACCCCAATGCTTTTGAGGGGGCGGTGGTGGTATTCGACGGACCCGAAGACTACCATCATCGGCTGGAAGACCCTGCAACCCCCATAACCGACAAGAGTATTCTGGTGATGCGCGGGGCTGGACCGCTCGGTTACCCCGGTGCAGCAGAGGTGGTCAACATGCATCCTCCGGGGAACCTTTTGCGACAAGGAGTCAAATCGCTCCCTTGCATTGGCGACGGGCGACAATCGGGTACCTCCGGATCTCCGTCGATTCTGAACGCGAGCCCCGAGGCAGCTGCAGGGGGGAATCTGGCCATCCTGAAGGATGGCGATCAGCTGCGTGTTGACCTCAACCAACGCCGGGTAGATATTCTCGTTTCAGCCGAGGAACTGCAAAGACGTCGGGACGAACTCGAGGCCAACGGAGGATACGGGGTACCGGAAAGTCAGACTCCATGGCAAGAGTTATTCCGCAAAGAGACGGGGCAGCTGAACGAAGGGATGGTTCTTCGCGGAGCAGTCAAGTTTCAACGCTTGGCCCAGCGTTATGGGGCACCGAGACATAACCATTGATGAAATGACGCCACAACTGAAGAAAGCGAAATAATTAATCTCGCAAGATGATGATTCTTGGTCTAGTCCTGCTTGTATGGAATGTGCGCACTGGCTTTACTTCAGGTCAAGTGATGTAGACCTCAGTCTTGGCCAGTAATTCCCCTCTTGGAATATGGTCCATAGGATGGGGAAGTGTAGGCAGTTGCATATGCAGCCTTAATAGAAAAGAATAGGGCTGACTGGCTGGTTGTGTAATTGGAAGGGACTGGAACCTCGAACATTGATCACTCAGCTTGATTTCAGGCCCCAAGCCAGGAAAACAATTATAGCAAGGAGCCTCCTTACTTCCTTCTCTGCATTCAACGTGGGATTCACATTTTCCAAAGTTCAGACAGCACAGCCCCTCCTCCAATCCTCCCTCCTTCCTTTCTCCTTCAATTCTCGTGTCAGGATCCGAGGCTGATGACAGCATCGCATGTTCTGATCTGTGCAACCTGCACCTCTCGGCGAAAGAGCCTCTTGTCTCTCTCCTCGGTCTCTCATTCGACTCGCCCGCATAATCCACCGGCAGACACCCACCACAGCCCACAATCTCCCAAACTAAGTTCTGACACACACCCATCCAACTCGAGTCAAGGGTGTAGGAATCAGGAAAAAGGAAAAGCTGGAAAAGGTCCGAGCCAACTCCGCAAACCTCGGTTAACATCGCCTCGTTGTCAAGTCAACTGCAGATGTCTGTTCGTTCAACATCATCATCACCACCACCACCCATGACCGCGCCCGGACCTGATCAAGATAACCAGGATTTCTGTGATTGATGCGACATGATAGCATAGCCGCCGCCCACTCATGATCCCTGGTGTCCAGTTGCCAAGATGGCTCATTCACCGATTTCTTTCGACATCTTATACGCTTTTCTCCGAGAATGGCCGATCTGATAGGACGGCTTGCATAAAAGGCCTGCACAGATAGGTCCGATTGCTTGTGATTTCATCCGTCCATCAGTCGACTAGACAGCCAGTTGTCTAGTGCATGGGAGGTGGTGCTTCAAGAAAAATTTGTCCGGGCCAAGGGAGCTGTAGACTAGGTAGGGGGTGGGGATCGAGACCCTCCGCCAAAGAATGAGGGCCAGAGGGTTTTCACTCTGGAGCCTGTGATTTCTTGTCGCAAACGCTAAAGTGAAGTGTGTTCACTAAGTTTACTGGGCCCCTTCGGGTGACATAGCATGATGACGCTGATGATCGAGGGCTCCTGAAGGTCGGTGATGGATTGAGTCATCGCCATATGGTCTAGCTATCATGTCACTCCTTCGTCTACTCGAATAGGTTGTGGTGGTGATACGGTTTACTAATCCCAAGGCTGAGTAACCAGTGTACAGCCTCCCAAACAGATGACCGATGAGAATGAGATGGGTTGACACCTTCATGAGCCCGATACGAAGTTATCCACCCACTGGGTCGTCTTTCGCATCTCCACCGCACAAGCACGCACACACACAGAGCACCTCGGCCCCCTTTAGACCACCATTCATTATCACCACCACCATTATGTGGACGACATGCTGACTTGTCCTATCTCACATCGGGACAATCTCCCCGGGTCTGAGGTATAGATAGAGAATTTTAAACACACACCAGAACCACCAACGAAGTTGCAGCAGAAAACTTTAATAACCCAAACCGGCCCAGCAACAGTTCAGTGGGCCTGGTGGGTCTCGGGAGTCTCCCGCGTCGTTTTTTTCTCAGTGGGCAAAATCTGCTGTTGCCCTGGAAGGTTCCCTAACTTGACGATGGTCTCGCCCCCGTGCCTTTCGAAGAGTTTTCCTTGGGTTTCGATGCTTGGTGTCCAATCTCCACTTGGCAAATTCTTGAATCCAGAGAGTCAACAATTGCAGAGTGGGATTCGGGGCTGACCTCAGACCGCCCCCCAGGCATCCACTCACAGTCTCACACCATCACACATCTCGCTCTTCCCCCCCTCCTTGGAAAAAAAAGCCACACTTCTCGGCGCACTCGCCCTTAATTCTTTTTTGATTTGATTATTCTTTATATTCATCATCCTTCCCTTCCTGCATAGGAACTTCCTGCATCTTTCCGGCATGCTGATCTTGCTGTTTCCATCCAGTCAGATGCGAGATTGCTAGCATGCGGTTCTAAGAAGCACTAGCAAACATCCAGCTGGGCGTCCGCCATACATCAGTCGATCGCTGCATCTCACTGCGCGTCTGCTCTTAGGTCATTTCACGGCCCCTCTCGCTGCTCTTGACCTGTCGATCCCGTTTCATTGCCAATAAAACCCGCCCCCAAACTCGACTCAATCCCGAGTCCGGACTTCCGCGACTCTCTCTGAAGATAAAAAAGAAAAAAGCAACCCATCTTGTCCTACACACGTCAGGCCTAGATCTTCTACAGGCACCTGTGCATTCATACCTACTATCGCACACCGCATCCTTACAGCCTGTCGACAATCAGCCCAGTCGACGAATCCGACCCCTTTCTTGAGGCACTCAAGAACATTTGCAATCATCATTGATTGCTGTCCACCTTCTACCCCTTGGGTCTTCCTTCAACTTCGGATTCTCTTGTTTCTGTCTCTTTAAATCACTATGCACCTCGCTCAATAACCCGGCGTTGCTCTTCGCAACTTTCTCTCGTCTTCCTACTTGACTTTCTTCGCCAGCAAGCAAGCGCGCTATATTGATTGTCTTCCTTACCGCTTCTCATCATTATCCCTGATCACTACATCTACTTTCAGTCGGCCCTTGGTCTCTCATCCGTCACAATGGCGCCCAACCTCTTTATCTGTCTACGCAAAGCATTCTGTCCCGTGTATTGGTTTCAGCGCGGAGAGCGCATCCACGGGTCTATCCACAAGGAGGAACACTGGGAGAGCCCTGTTCCTGGTATCTACAAGTACATCCCTGGTCGGGGATGGCACCTCATCCTCAAGGATGGCAATGAGCACGAGGAGAAACTGCCGGTGCCCCTTGTTTACTGCCGCATCCTGCACCGATACATTTTCGAACACGAGATGGAGGAGCGCTGTCGCTGGCACTCGGTGACTATCCATGAAGGAGCCAAACCCGAACGACTCCTTTTCTTTCTGCTGGATGACGGCTACACCTGGGTTGCCGGCTGGGACGCCAAGGGAAAGTTCATCCCAGGTCCGTATCAGAAGTGGCACTACGACTCGGAGACGCGCACCATGCGCCGCGAACTGTTCCCCGAGAGCTCCAATGTTTCCCGTGCCAGCATCGTGCCGAACAAGTTGACCTGATCCCCGACCTCCTCGAATGAGATGATCGACCATCGCATCTAAGTCGCGTCTGCAGCTGGTCTCTACAGCGCACGCGTTGGCCGTTCACGACCGATTCAGAACGATTATTGCTGTTTTGAGCTAGCGTTCTAGCGTTTCCTTCCATTTCGCTTTCTTGTCTGTGTTTTCTTCGTTTTGCTTCACGTGTCACGCATAAATCGCTCATGAAATTGCTGGGACGGCTCTACTACTTTGTTTTCTGGGTAGAGGCTTTCTTTCCATAGCGACGAAGGCGTTTTGGGTCAAGGTTATAGACAACCGGATAGATGTTTCGATTTGTTTGTTAGACATCCTATGCTTGATGATGGGATCTTCGGAATTAGCTTTGTCAAAAGATTCTGCTACGGGCAGATTGAATATAGAAGGATGGCCGTGTTGAAAGATTTCTTCTCATATAGAGAGCTTTGTAGTATACAGTATACACAATAGTATCCAGTGTATCGGACTAGATCTGCATCCGAAGTAAAAGAATTTTGGTTGTTGCAAGCAGAGGTGAGGATCTGCATGACAGCCGCATGAGACATGTCATTCAGGATCATTGGGGCTGGATCGGCGGTCACAGAAAAGCATGTGATAATTTGACTGTAGCGTTATCAATGATGCCACAACATACATGTACTGTACCATTTTCCATACTTTATATCCGGGATGGGTTCCTTGATCCATGATCGTGTCCAATCGAGTGCCCACGTCCACCCATGTGCTCTCCCATCTTCACTATCAATGGCCGAGGAGCATTATGCCATCCTCTGAACCAGGAAACTATCTTTGTTAGGTTGCTCTTACGAATTCCCCCGGAGCTCCAAGCATACGGTCGTATATGCAACCCATCCCGAATAATCCTACACTGCCAACCCAGTAGACAGGTACTGTAGTCGAACACATCGATGTCTATGAGGAAGGAAATCTAATCTACAACCGCGCCTTCTCACCCGCCCGCTGCCGCTGCCGCTGCCGCTGCTGCCCCGTGTTCTCCTTCTTCACCCCCTGACCGCTCTCGCCATCGTTACTATTGTCGTCTGCGACCAGCAACCGCTCCAACCCCCGCCGCACCACCGGATCCATCCCGCCGGCCGTCGGCCGCATCGTCTCCCGCGCCACGAAGACATGCGTATACCCGCCCACCACCTTCACGGCCGCCTCGCCCCGCCGGAACACCCCGACCTCGTAGGTCACGCTCGAGCGCCCGAGGTGGTTGACCCGTAGGCCCAGCTCCAGGGTGTCCGGGAAGGAGACGCTGGCGAAGTAGTCGCAGTTGGAGGAGATGATGAGGCCGATTTGGGGGGTGGTTGCCGTTGGGGTTTGGGTTGGGGTTGAGGTTTGGGGGGCTTGAGTGGTGGTTTGGGTGGTGGGGGAGGTGCGCTCCTTCTCCGCGGGGTTGTTGGCGCTGAAGGGGTTCATCCCGCAGTGGGTGATGAGGTAGGTGTTGATGATCGAGTCGAAGAGCATCGTGTACACTGTGTTGTTGAGGTGGGCGTACATGTCGTTGTCGTACCTGGTGGGTTGGGTTTGGTTAGTTTTGGGTTGGCTAGAGACGGGGGAGCTTAGGGACTGGGGACGGAGGGGGATGTACCATCTTGTTTGGTGGGTTTGGTGGAAGAGGTAGTCGCTGCGCGTGCGGCGCTTTTTGGCTGCGGTGGTGGTTGTGGTGGTGGTGGGTGGCATTGTTATGTGGTTGAGTTAGGGATAGGGGGAAGGGGGTGTTGGGTGGATTTTTTGCTGGGGGTCTGTTATGGGTGATGGGAGCGTATAGGCTGAGTTCGTCGGGTTGATTCAGATAAGGAAATAGTCTGCAATTGAATCTGGAGTAGACTCTAGGTTGATGTGAATGCGGAGGGCGGAGGATGTAAATGGGTTTATGATTCCTCCCGGGGATGTGGGGCAGTTTGTGATGAAGCTCAGGGGACCTCGGCTGGTTATGTCGGTTGCCTACAGTATACTGTAGTTCTTGTTCTGCCGTTCGATGCTTGGGGTGTATTCTCTTGAGAAAGTTTCATCTGATTGAGGATATCATTGCCCTCGCAACAGAAGAGTGTTGTGCTTGCAACTTGGGACCCAGATAACTTCTCGAGATGGAAATGCCGAGGTACGGTTTTGAGACTAACCACAAGTGGCTTAGCTCATGTGATTAGTGGCCACAGACACCTTGTTTATCAGGTGTCGAGTATGCCAGTATATCCCAGCTCTGTCCTCCTTCCTCTGGTTGTTCACCTAGCTGCACCTTCCTCTACCAGCGAACATTAGCATTGAGACTCAAGATGCTCGTCTCCATTCTTTGTTTTGGAACTTCTTACCACCAACGTCTACAAGCTGCATGATACCAAGGTCGAATCTATCTATCAGACCCATGAATATCCCGATTCAGGCTGGTTAATAGCACAAACGATTATCTACAGTCCTTGACTGTATCCTTTCTCATACAATAACCGATTGAAGCTCTATCCTCGTCCTTCACAATGAAGGCTTGCAGCCTGAGAGCCTACATGATAGGCCTACTCTGTACCATCCTAGCACACAACTTTGTCGCTGCGCTCGGGCTGGCAAATATCACGACCGAACTTGGTCCTCGGCTCTCTCCAGGTGCACGAATCATTCTCCCGAATAGTCCAGACTTTGCAAATGCCACCTACAGATGGTCTACCTTTGCTGAGCCTCGTCTCAGTGTTGTCGTTGAGATCGCCACAGAGGAGGATGCTGCGGAAACAGTATGCTCCATGCCTGTCTTAAATACTTGTTTTACTAAGAGTATACCAGGTCAAATACGCCAATGAACAAAATTTTCCTTTCATCGCTATAGGTGGTGGTCATGGTGTAACGACTAGCTTGGCAAATCTCCATTATGGCATTGAAATATGGCTCCATAGACTCAACTGGACCATCATTTCGGAGGACGGTGATACGGCTACTATAGGTGGCGGTATCATTGCTGGTAATCTCATCCAGGCCTTGTGGCAAAAGGGGAAGTATGCAGGTATGTGCCTTACACACACACAGTGCATGCTATGTTGCTCATGGATACACACAGTAACTGGCTCGTGTGAATGCACTAGCTACCTTGGTCCGCTCCTTGGAGCAGGCCACGCTGTCCTACAAGGGAAATATGGCTATGCCATGGATCAACTTGTTTCATTGCATCTCGTGACTGCAGATGGAGAGCTCCTTGATGTGTCAGCCTCCGACCCCGATCCTGACCTGTTTTGGGCCTTGCAGGGCGCTGGCCATAACTTCGGAATCGTCACTTCGGTAACTACGAAGATCCACGATATCCCCGACCAAGGTCTTTGGGCTCACGAGGACTACTTCTACGGCCGTGATAGCATTGAGAATCTTTTTGAGACATGGAACCAACTCCTTCCACGTCAACCTCCTACTGTGGCGATTGTTGGCTTTATATTGCGAAATGCCAGCATAGATGCCGTGAATGTAAGCTGAACACGTCAGCAAGAATATGCCATTAACATGCTGATCAGTTGATAGCCAGTGGTAGTACTCTCTCTCATGCAGGAAAACGTCTCTCGTGTCGATCCCATCTACACCGAGCCCTTCCGCAATGCGAATCCTATCTCTGTCTCCTCCGGCTTCGGGACATACAGGGATATACCAAGGTGGTTACGATTCGATTTCAACAATTCCGTATATTGTACTACCAGGAATGTTTCCGCGCTGCATTTTCCAGTCGGTCTCCGTAGATGGAATATTACAACGCAGCGCATGGTGTACGATGCTTTCGCAACGATCACTGCGGGCAACTCCCCGTTCAATGCTTCCGAGTTTCTGCTCGAGGGCTTCCCAGTGCAAGGCGTCAAAGCCGTCCCTGAAGACTCTACGGCATACCCTTGGAGGGGCGACAATCTCATTGCATATCCCCTTCTCAGGTATTATACAAACATGAGCCTAGATCATACGGCCATTGAGGTCGGCGAAGGATTTCGGCGAAAACTTCTCGAGGGCAGCGGCTCGGAAGAATTGCACTCATACGTTAACTATGCTCTTGGCGACGAGTCACCAGAACAGATTTATGGCTATGAGGAGTGGCGATTGGACAAGTTGAAAGAGCTGAAGAAGAAGTATGATCCGGAGAGGCGGTTCAGCTTTTATGAGCCTATTCCTATCTGAGTGTTCTTTAGAAGGGTTGTTTTCTCTTCGATGACCTAACCATGACCTGTGTTGGGTATTATTATGACTAGATATCAATACTGTATTCATAGTCTACCTAGGGTTAAGTATTGATGGGAAAAAAGTGTTTATATGATGAATATGCTCTCGTACGCAGGCGACTGGCCGTTAAGGTGATGCAGAGTCTGGCCGTAACTGAATCCAAGCTTGACGTTGACCAGATCGTCTTGACGGGTGGCTGGTGCCAGTGTTTGTGGCACAGGAACCCGCAAGGGAGAGCGGGAGGATATATTATCGACCCACCGGCCTCTTTGTTGTCGTAGTGGCATCGTCGCACAGCATCTTGAGGTTAATTTGACCCTAGCAAGGAGGGAAGACCTGGGCTGGTCTCTGCACAAAGCCTTTCAGCAAGTATTGCATGGCTGGTGTTACCGTGGAGATCATGGTTTAATCCAGGCTAGACAGGAAAGGACAATGGCGTCACTTGAACTTGGAGTTGGCCTCCCTGGAACGAATGGCTGGGTAGACTTCGGAGTAGATCACCACCACCGCGTCATATCCTAGCTACTAATCAACTTTCAGATCGCTAGAGCCTCAACCCGACTTGTCGTAGTGTGTGCTGTCGTGGATGAATCCGATCACCAGGGGGCCTGACCGGGGGAAGAAATGGAGCTGACTGGCCAGACTAACCAACGGAGACTAACCACACTAATTCAACCCCTCGATCCACACGTGTTGTTTTAAAGTGTTGATCGCTGCTCATAAAACAATGGAGTAAGCAGACAGGGGAGAGAATCAGTCAGGCACACAGCATGGAAGAATGACGGAAGTCAATGACTCGGTGGTATTCTGGAGGGACAACCCATGTTATTATTGAAGACATTCAAGATTCAAGACATTGAGGAACCCTTTGCATACAATAAACACGACTATTGACACTTAAATATCCACCTATTCCCCTCCCCACCGCTTCCCGCAAACCCTTTCATACCTCCCCTCCCCTCTTATACGGACTGTACTCCGTCCTGCTGCTGCTGCAATTGTTGTTATTCTTAGTTCTCATCGTTTCTGGCTCCTCCGACCTCTCTTTTCTTTCCCCCTACCGACTGAGTTACCCAGCCAAGTCACTCCTTTGCCCCCTCTTGATCGGTCTTTCTCCTGCTTGGCGTTTTCTTCTAGCCGTCTTTCAATCTTCTATTTATACTCGTGTTCTGTGTTCCATTCTCTCCTACCGCTAGGTTTCACGCCGACCCCCAAGTCTAAATTTCCGCCTCCTGCAACACGGTCCGACGTCCTTTCATTTCCGCAACTTAGTTTCCACGATCTGTCTCCTGAAGTTGCTGTTCATATCTCGTCCTTATCGGCCAACCTCTCATGAATTACGACTATGTCAACTACGACGACCACCGCTCTGGCGTCCACCATGCTGGTCGGTACCCTGCCCACTATGACACACGCCGGAATGATGCCAGGCAAGACCTGCCCGACCTGTGGATATGGCCGACTCTCCTCGGAAAGCAGACCAATCGATCAAGCACAACATCGCGTGAAAGAATTAGAAGGGCAACTTGAGTTTCTCAACGTCCAGGCGACACAAATGGGTAAGGAATCTTGTATCGCAAATACCTGCACTGAGCTAACTCAGCCTCTGTCCAAACCAATAGCCGAGAGAATGGCCGAATATGAAGAAGAGATCCGTCGCCTCCGCGCTCAATGCACCGCACAAAGTTCCCGCAATGGCTCCTCTATATCCTCCACCTCGTCGAACCAATACAACAGAATAACAGACTTGTCAATGTCGCCTCCCTCGTCGCAGACCTCTCCGAAGTCACATGGCCAACATAGCGGGCGCTTATCCACGCTGACCTCCCTGTTGCCCTCCCGCCGACCCGGCGCCCCGAGCGCAATCCAGCCCCAGCCAATAATCTCTCCACCGCCGATCACCAGCTACGAGGAAACATTGGAACTACAAAACGCGCTCAACCGAGAACAGAGCCTGCGCAAGGCCGCCGAAACACAATTGTCGCAAGCCAGCACTGAGTTGGAGGAATTGACGGCGCAACTATTCAGCCAGGCGAATGAGATGGTCGCGCAGGAGCGCAAGGCAAGAGCGAGACTTGAGGAGCGGGTGGCGGTACTGGAGCGCCGGGATGTCGAGAAGAGGACCCGACTTGAGCGCTTAGAAAAGGCGATGGAAAGAGTCGAAAGGATCCGAGCTATGGTTGGCTAGCGATTTGCAGGATGCACACATGAGGATTGTGGACGCTCCGGACTATACCCCCTTTATGTACCTGTCTTGTTCTGGGTCTCCGTCCATGCTTTCAGGCTAATACTCCCAGTCTTATACCCATACCCCTCTTCTGGTTTTATTTTTGGCGCTTGGTTACTTGGTCTGCCCTTTCGAGTTTGACATGCGATACGACCTGATGGGTCAATGGGTCACCCTGCTTATGAGTGACGATTCTGCATCGTGTTCTGGTGACAGGCGTTCTGTTTATACATCGGTATCCTTGCATAAAGCGATTGCATTATTTTGTTTATCTATGTACTCTATTGGCTTTCCGAAGGTTATACCTCCTCATAATACTCTTTCTTATGACTCTCATATGGCATCATGCAGTTCCAGGAACCCCGCGGCGGGATGCCAGGAATTAGTCTGGTTGCAGACCCACTTCAGGGTCTCCCCGTGGCTACCTACTGAACTCCATCCTGCTCTGCTATCGTCATTTCTTCCAAGGTTCATATTTTCAGGTTTTAGAAAATTCCTCACTCACAATGTCTATCGGAGTTGCTATTATTGGCAGTGGTAAGTGATAGTCACTCTGAGATACTGCTTTGGCATCGACTGACAGAGCACTCAGGCATCTTTGCCCGGGAAGAACACTTGGTACAAAATCCATAATTCCTTCTTGCTTCAGTGAAGCTATTCGAGCTCCCAGCTGATGTCGCAATCCGCAGCCCGTAGCACGCGCCTCGCCCGATTTCGCGCTCAAGGCGATTTATTCCCGCTCCCTCCAGTCAGCACAGAACCTCGCCTCTGGAGTCGAGGGAGTAGATCTATACTCGGAGGATGCCGGCACCGGCAGAAGCTACGCGGATCTCCTAGCTCGGGAGGACGTGCAAGCTGTCATCATCGCGTGAGTGCTTGATCCAGAAGCATACAATACTTACTTGCCGAGCTAATCGAATGCCTGGGCAGCTTGCCGATTCTCGCCCAGCCAGAGTACATCAAGCAGGCTCTTACCGCCGGGAAACATGTCCTGTCCGAGAAGCCCATTGCCAAGGACCTGGCCACCGCCCAGGAGCTGTTGCAGTGGTACACTGTCAACATCGACACCAGCAAGACTCTCTGGGCCGTCGCGGAGAACTACCGCTACCTGGCCAAGTTCATCCGGACCGCCGAGGAGGTCCGCAGATTGGGCGGAGTGAAGAACTTCCGCGTGAGCGTGCGCAGTCTGATCAAGACGGACTTCAAGTACTACAGTAAGGATCTCCCGTTCAACGTATGAGTCTGAATTACGAGTTGCGCGAGAATGCGGGCAGGCTGACAATGTCACACCCAGAGACGGAGTGGCGTCGGACCCCAGCTCACCAGGGCGGATTCGTCCTTGACGGCGGCATCCACCTCGTCGCGGGACTGCGGCTGATTCTCGGAGAGCAGGAGGCGCTGGCCTCGGTGTCCGCGCGGTCGAGTCTCCTGCAGGAGTATCTGGCTCCCGTGGACACCGTGGACGCCGTGGCGCAGACGAAGTCCGGAGCATCGGGCGCCATCACCATGTCGTATGGCTCGGCATTCAACGACTTTGTATTTGAGTTCGACTGCGCGCAAGGCGCGGTGACGCTGAACGGCGACCGGGTCACGGTCAAGGGGGAGAGCTTCGAGGTGCCCTTTGAGGGCCGGGGAGTGAACCACGAGGTGGCTGGGTTTGCGGCATCAATTCGGACCGGTGCGGTGCAAGCCTTGTTGCGGCCGGAGCAGGCGTTGGCGGATTTAGAGGTGATGGAGGGGATCTTCACGAGCCATGGGGCGCGGGTCGACCTACGACTGCAATAGATAATAGATAATAGTTGGTGGCGAGTAGAGCAGTAGGATAGACGCATAAGGTCGGTCCAAGACAAATAAGATTAGTCATGTGCATGATAGAACGGCATCCATGGTCGGGACTAACCCGATTGAGACGGCGGCGGTCAAGGGCACGCGGGGCGAGCCCTAACACACGGAAGGGGTTAGTCTCGCTTAGCGAAGCCACTAGGGCGAGTCTTGCTCGGGCGGCCAAACCTGAAGCGCGAAATCTCGAGACCGAATTTCGACCCCTACGACAACTCCCAGCGCCAGCCCGCGAGAAGACGACAAGGTATGTGTTGCACGATCGCCGTTGGTCTCACTGCATACTGACTTGGGATTTGTTCAAGATGGTCCTCGCAAAGAAGCACGTCCCCATCGTCAAGAAGCGTACGTTTGCACCTTGTCCCAATATGCCCACCAACCATGAATATATCCTGCCGGGAGTCGAAGTTCAGCCATCAGTGGATCGGTCCTTGGTAGCCAGCCAGCAATCGTATGATAGCGAGACAGGAGAACGACAATCGCAACGAGGAAGAGAACGTGGAGGATGATCTGGGTGCGAATAATGGTTGATCATGGAGGAGGATTCGATTTCTGAATGGAACGATCAATTCGGACGACCAATTTCACTTGTCAAATGCACCGACAACTTCATACGACAGCTTCGAGTACGCCGCAAAACGTATGCACGCAAATGATCACTGGCTTCCGAAGGACTGATTTACCTGGAAAACTCGAACCTGAGCTATCTCCCGAGGGCGAACTCAACCCACCGAATCACACTACATCCATTCACACACGAGGGGACAAGTTTCGTTGACAATTTTCCGCTTTTACAGGCACCAAGCGTTTCTTCCGCCACCAGTCCGACCGCTTCAAGTGCGTGCCGGAGTCATGGCGCAAGCCCAAGGGTATCGACAACCGCGTCCGTAGACGCTTCAAGGGCAACATCCCCATGCCCTCGGTACGTCGCTTTCCTTGCCGCTTGCCACGGAATGCGGAGCCGTCGACTAACAGGCCATTCCCATCAATAGATCGGTTACGGAAGCAACAAGAAGACCAAGCACATGATGCCCTCCGGCCACAAGGCTTTCCTCGTCCACAACCCCAAGGACGTCGAGCTTCTTCTCATGCACAACCGCACCTACGCTGCTGAGTACGTTCTTGCCCCCCATCACTGCAGCTTTTTTCCTCCCCATATCGCCGGATCCAATATACTAACGAACCCCAACAGGATCGCCTCCGCCGTCTCTTCCCGCAAGCGTGTCGACATCATTGCCAAGGCCAAGGCCCTCGGCGTCAAGGTCACCAACCCCAAGGGCCGTGTCACCACTGAGGCTTAAATGGATTTTTTTTATTTAAATCAAAAAAGAAGAGAACCTATTTATGGAATGATAATGTAAAGACTTTCCCAAACCTGCCGCTCCCGAACCTACCTCTCTCTGTGCCCCCACTCCAACCCTCATCCCGAACAATCAGAGTTAAAAAATCAAGCACTTACATGATCGATGAGGAAAAAAGACCATGAATACCAATATCATCTCCATGAATACACCACCTTTTGAAATATAAAAAAATCCAAACGGGGAAAGCAAGCCTTCACCGGGATCGCGGGTATCAGATCATCTGGGGACTTGACCTTTGTCATGAGGTGATGATATGATGCTTTGTCTTGTGGATGGGAACGCTAGGCTGTGCTTGTCGTTTCTATTTATCGAGAATTCCGGGTAATGGCTTGTTTCTTCTAAGTGTGGGGGGGGGCTGCTTGGCTTGATGCAGAGCGATTTTAAAGCAAGATAAAGATATGTCAATGCGATGCGCGTGGCTTGGCTGGTGCTGCTGGTCTGGGAATTATTTGTCTTTCTTGGGGGGAGATTGGGTGTAGGGAGTAGTGTAGGGGCTGTAGTGTTGTTTCCTGGTGTTGTTGCCGTTTCTCTGTGGGGATGTGGTAGACACTCGTTTGATGTTGTAGAGATATCCCAAGGTCTAGTGATGTGTGTTGCTCTACCGTTGATGCTGGAGTGAGTTGACCCAGTAATGCAGGGAATCCAGATTCTTGCTGAGGGAGTAAAACGGAAAGAAGTAGACTGAACTTCTATTGTGATATCATCGCGGATCTATGTACCAAAAACAAAATCTATGCTGTGGCTTGCGCTCCAACACCAGTCTCCGCACTAGCGGCGGCGGCGGCAGCAGCAGCAGCAGCTTCATGCGCCTGCCTCTCCGCCGAGATATCCACCAACCCGACCCCCTGGACCAGCGCCGGGATGCCTCCTCCTCGCCTCTCCGCATGATTCTTTGGGTTATCATCGCCATCCCCATCCCCACCGAGCTCCGGCACCGTGCCATACCCGATCACAATCTCCTCGTCCTCGGGGACATCGACCCAGTCCGGCATCGCGCGGGGGCCGTCCACGCCGACGGGGGGCAGGCCCCAGCTCGGCATCTGGCTGGTGTACTTCCAGCCGTCGGGGCCGCTCTTGTCGGCGTACGCGGCCGCATGCAGGAAGATGCCCAGCTCCTCGGGGCTGGGGTCGGTGTACAGCTCGGTGTCGCAGACGGGGCAGCGCTCGCCGGACAGGCGCTCGCCCTTGCGCTTGTGGTAGCGCTCGACGGCGGCCTCGTGCTCGCGGGACATGATCTCCTCGACGACCGAGGCGTCGGTGCCGGGGGGCACGAGCGGCGCGGCGGTGAGATGCGTGCGGTAGCTGTTTTCGCTGCTGTCGGGCTTTGTGCTTGTGCTAGCGGCCTCGGCGACGGTCTCGGTCTTGCCCAGGTTCGACAGGCGGGCGATCAGCTCCTGGTCGCGCTCGTCGGAGGTCTCGTTCTTGCCCAGGTCCGGGCCGAAGACTTTGCGATTGCTGTAGATCGGGTCGTTGGAGATCGGATGCCCCAGGAACTGCAGGTGCACGCGGATCTGGTGCGTGCGGCCCGTCAGCGGCAGGCAGTGCACGATGCTGTAGCCTTCTTCTTCGTTCGCGTAGATCGGGGGCGGCGTCGCTACCCCCGTCCTTGCCGGCCATCCAACCTCTCCCGCTGCATCACCATCCCCCGATCCCGCTGCAGCAGCGGACGGAGGGATGTACGCCAACCGGCGGAACTTCGTCTTGGCCTCCTTCCCCGTGGCGCGCACGCGGTTCAGCCCGACCTTGGGACTCACCGACATGATGGGCTGATCGCACACGACCACCCCGTCGGGGAACCGGCCCTTCACGCGCGCCACGTACTCCTTTTGCAAGGTGCGCGCCTTGAGCTTCTCGCACATCATCTCCGCCGCCTTGGGGTGCTTCCCCAGGAACATGACGCCCGAGGTCAGCCGGTCCAGGCGGTTGCAGGGCCGCGGCACCCAGTCCGGGTGCCGCTGGGACCGCAGGATCTCCAGCACCGAGTTGTAGTGGTACCGGCCCGCCGAGTGCACGGGCACGCCGGCCGGCTTGTCGATCACGATCAGGTCGTCGTCCTCGTGGATGATCCCGATCTCCTTGCCCGTCACGGGCGGCTCGTGCCGGTGCAGCGTGTGCGAGATGATCTCGCCGTTCTTGACGACCGTGTGCGGCGTGCCTGGTTTGCCGTTGACGCAGACGAGGCCGGTTTCGAGGGCTTTTTTCTGTCCCCATGCGAGATTTTATGTTAGTTGGATGAGGGAATGGAGGGGAGTGGAGGGAAGGGTCACCGTACGTAGTATTCGGCCGGTCGATCGCGGAACTCCGACAGGAAGATGTCCAGCAACTCCCGCCCGCGCCAGCGCTCCTTGCAGTAGGTGTTGTAGGTGTAGTGGTAGGGCTTCACGCGGCGCAGTCCGCCTTCAAAATAGTAGGGGGCCGGCCAGGGGTCGCAGGGAGTCACGGCCACCTCCGGGGGTTCCTGGACCGGGTCCGGAGGCGGCACTTGGAGGGTCGTGTCGACGGGGACAACGGCCATGCTGGACGTCGGGACCAGGCCTCGTCGCAGCAGGTATGCAAGAACGCGAGGTGAGGGAGCCAAGGTCGACGACTGGCGGGGATGACAGGACAAGAGGAAGAAAGGAGGGTGAGTAGTGGTGGGGTTTACGATGAAAGAGATAAGCTCTGCGGCGGCGAAAATTGGCAAAAGAAAAAATTAACTCAAGTCCCGCAGGAAATTTTGGTGGTGCGGGAAAGGGGAAAACAAGTGGATTTTGAGTTATCGGAATCTATCAAATAAAACACTACGGTAAACCTTTCTATTGACCTCCGAGTTTCCTTTCCAACACCTCCGCCTACGGCCGATAACCCAGTCAACCCACCTAAGATCGAGTCAATTCTGATGTAGCCAAGGTATCATGTGTGTAGGAACTTACATTTCGAGTAGGCGCGACGGCAGGAACAACATCCTCAGATGTATATTCCTCAATTGTCCGGTGAACCCAGCCCCGCCTGTAGCACATCCACATTGCCGCATCGTCGAAGTCAAACGATATGCTTCCTTTGGCTAAGATCTGGCCCAGTACATCAAGAGCCTTGGACGTCAACGCGGAGTGGGAAGGAAATGAGCGAAAAGCCCCATGGCTCTCGATAGACCTGAAGAATTGACTCTCATCCTTCAAGACTTCCAGCACGTGGTCCATTGTGATCGTGTGGATCTTTCCTTGTTTAATAAGATCGCAATGCGCCTATACTCAAATCAATTTGCAAGAAGCAAGCATAAAACCGAATCCGTTCACGTCCTGGTACAGTACAGTACATACATTGAAAAGGATATCGACCATGGCGGCCACCATCCCGAGATGCGCACTTGTCAGCTTATACAAGTAATCCATCGCCGCGCGATCAATCATGAACTCGTCATCGAACCCCCGTGCCGCCCGAAGTACCACAACTTCACGAAATTCGTCTTCGGTGTAAAACATGCCGATTTTAACCGAATACAGGCCAGGTCGAGGGGCCAGTGCGATATGCGACGCGATGCCAAACGTCGTCGGAGTATATGCATAGTCCAGGTCCCTCCAATCCACGCCGGTCACAGGGTGTCCATAGTATTCGAAAAGGCAGATCTTGATATCTCCCAGGCGAAGCCCAGATTGCACGTCCTTGATGACCGTATCCCAGAAGTTCATGTCGCGGTAGGAACCCTGAGCCTCGTCGATAAGAATCACCGTCTTGGCAGGAACCGATGCCCATGTCGGATCGAACTCAGGATCTCGTTGTCGCAGGCGCCAGCCGAACTGAGTCCAAGGGGATCCCGGGGGTGCTTCTTGGCGCCCCCAGACAGGGAGGAGATACACGTTGCGATTGTGGTCGAGGTAGTATTCCCGGAGCAATCGGCACAGGACCGTTTTCCCGGTGGCTGGCGTGCCACGCACGAGAACGGCGTTTTCAGAATCCACCGCCGCGGCGAGCTTGGACACGGTATCCTGGCGCGGACATGTCTATTCACCAATAGCGGTCAGGAGTGAACTCATAGCCTCCGGGGAAAGTGAATCTGGGTGTTGCATGCTTACAATCGGGGGCATAGGATCGCGTGTACTCATTTTGCTGGTAGATTGCTGGAAGAGGGTGGCTTTCCTGTGAAGCGTCGTTGACACCCTCGTGGAGAGTCGAAGGAGCAGGAACAGGATGAGAAACTGAGGGAGAACTCATGCTTTGGAAGGTGAGCTGGACTCACTTGTTGTAGAGAGTATCTGTGAGATCGGTTGTGTCTCTTCTCGCCTCTCCCTGAGTTGCTTCTCTCAAATATACCTTTCCGCTCCTTTCTCGGGGTTGCGGGGTGTAGGATGACAACAAGTTGATGTGGGAGCCGACAGTGGTGAAAGTAAACTGAAACCAGACAGGATCTCATGCGAAGCACCAAACACCGGAGATGTGAGAAGTAGTTCGCGAAATAGCAATGCTCTGCAGAATACGATGACTCTCAAGGGAAGGGGGTAATGACAGCTGAGAGGAAGGAGATAAAAAGATTTACGTCGTTCACAAGTAACAAACAAGTGACAGAACGCTAGCCTCGCAACTCCGTGTATATGTCACTATCTCCTCACTCACCCCGAGTAAACTCGCAATGCCATCGGAATCTGACCCGGACCAGGACCCCAGAAATCTGATCGTTTCCCCCGGAATCATGACATACAGTCTCATCTATATGTATCATCGAGTCCCATACCTCAGCTTCTTCTTCCGCATAGCCCTCTCATTACCTTCCGATCCGAGAGCGCAATTACTACTGCAATCGCTCCACTCATCACTCCAAACGTCGACACCATGGTCGCCCACCCAGCCTGATCAACCAGAAGACCCGCCATCAGAGGCCCAAGCACCTGCCCACCGGACCATGCCACGTTAAACAGCCCGTATGCTTGCGCAGTGCCTCCCTGGTGGCCGAAAATGCCTGGATATTCTCGCTCATATCGCTCCGTGACTCGTCCCACCTCAACCATCAACGAGACCATCTGTAGGGTTGACGCGGCTCCAGCCAGAAAGAGGAAGACGACTAGCAGGATCTGGTGCTGGACCGTGTTCTCAGTGACGAACTGGAAGAGGAGAAAGGTTGGACAGTCGAGTAAAAAGCCTAGGAAGGCAATTTGTAAGGCTCCGAGGCGGTCGACGGCATCACCTGTGTGAACTCAAGGTTAGTCGAAGCCAGGTTTGGAAGTGGATAGACGTACCGATCCAAGGGGACGCGAAGGACGGTGCGAACAAGGGCAGGAAGCACAGGCCTATGCCCATCGGGCCCCAGTCGAATGTCTTCATGACATAGAGTGGAAGGACCTGAACCACGATCAGTTGCTGCAAGAAGATGGATGTAAGAGGATTGCAGTAACCACGGACCGTGTCGAATGAGGAGTACAAGATGGCATCGACGACAGTCGCCATCAACACAACCATCAATTTACCAGAGCATATCAGCCGAACAATGCCCGGTACGGACGTCTCTTTCCCGCTCGAGTCGGGCTCACTGCCATCCTCGACCGGTGGTTCAACGAGCACATCGTCAGGCGGACACAGCGAGCTTGCACTGTCCTGTTCACTGAAAGCGCCGTAACCGGTGCTCTTACCCAGCAAACCGCTGGATTCTTCCGTCTTTGACGGAAGCCACTTCGCGGCCGTCTTCTGCTCGATCATGACCAGGCGGAGACTGACATCCACCACGATCAAAGCGATCGCCAGCAGGAACACCGAATGGTACCCAACTCGCGAGAGCCTGCACGGGGATATGTTAGCGACCATCTTCCTCCAACCCTGACAGCACGAATGCGCGAAACGTACATGATCCCACCGATGAACGGGCCGAACACCGTCCCAACTGTCAAAGCCATAGAGACGTATCCCATGGCCGCCCCGACCTGGTCCTTGCCCACCGTGTCCACAACAAGCGCCATGCCGACAGTCCACACCACAGCTGCCGACAGACCTTGCAGAGCCCGCGCGATCACCAGCGACGACAACGACCTCGCGAACCAGAACACCACGGTCGTCCCGCCGAGGGCAAACAACCCGATCATGAACGGAAGCTGGCGCGATGAGCTCCTGTCCGCAAAGTATCCGAAGATGGCTTGTGAGTCGTGACTGGTCAGGACCTATTCTCCGAGCATACCAATCGGCTAGCAGTGCAGGGCTATCACTCACGAGAACCAAAGAAAATCCCGCCCCCGAAAGCAGCAAGCATGATCGACATCCATTGCTGTACTGTGAAGCTTTGTGTCAGTGGGCTTTTGTCTGCCAATACAGGCATAGGAAAACGTACGGTCATTATCCGGCACAGCGACTCGCGTTTTCAAGACAATCGGTAATATGGGCACGATCTAGTAAATGATCGTTCCAGTTAGACACAACTCGTCACCAGCATTCATCACCGGAGAACCGCACCATGCCATAGATGAAAACGTCCTGCGTGCGGTGAAACGGCAATTAGCATCGTGTCCAGGAAACAGATAAAGCGACACCATCCTTATCTCCCCCCTCCCTCACTCACCGTAAAACAAGCAATAGCCACCACCCAAGTCACAAACGTCTTGGAAGAGCGAAAGGCCAACTTCCATGGTGGGGAATCGCAGTCTGTCGCTGCCATACCGAATGTTCTGCCGACGGGAGGGGGCGATAAAGTATGATCGTATGTAGTGGGAAAAGGGTCAACGACACGAACAAGTACCCGAGTCGCACATCGTGGCCCAACGCCGTCTTAAGGAGTTTAAATAGCTCAGCGACATCGGCGAGGGGAACAGAGGAGGAGGGGTTTTTTCTCTTTCGAAGAAGCAAAGCAAGAGCCAAAAAGCAAAGTAAAGCAAAAAGGGTGGGCTGAGCTGACAAGTCAGTTAACTATAGGCCTACGGTTGTGGGGAAAGGAGAACTAATGGGACGGATTTGCCCTTTTCTCCCTCTGCCTCTAAACTCGATGAGGTAAAATTTCGCAGAGCTGCATCGTCAGCGCATGAGCTGTCGGGATTGATTGGCATCGGCTGAGATCCGGAGAGTCTATCTATTGTCTCGGTCTACTGGTGTGTGCAGTAGGAAACTAAAACTACTAGGTAGGTAGGTAGTTAATGATATCCTTATCTCTATCATCGTGACCGCTCGTTGGTGGCTCCGGCCGAGATAGTGCGTATCTAGATGATAACTAAGGTCGCCTACGTCCCGTGATGAATAAACTCGACTAGATCATTCTATAATGGCACTATTGCACTAATCTCACGCAAATGACTTATGTCCAAATTTGAAGACGGCAAAAACATACGTGGACAAATTCACCGACACGAACGCGATGGGACAGTGGCACGCACAGATTGGTGTCCGAGTTGGACAAGATTCTGGTCCAGTGCTCAAGAAAACCACCAGTGCATGTCATTTAATGGCTCTCCACTGTCGTCATCATCTTCTTCATCATGCTATCAAACTGATTTGCTCGGATCGTCAAATTAGGGTCATGGATTCATCAGCGAAGCAAAAGAACACGACTGACTCCTACACGCCGTTCCTGGACCCCCGAACACACGATACAGAAAGGAGAAGAGGAGTAAAATGTTCGTCGGTAATGAAAGAGCGATCGATGTTGCAAGAATAAATTAGGAGAAAGAGAAGCCATGATTCAGAAACAGTTAACGTATACATTCACTTCCTTCACATCAGCCATCATGATCATTGGTGTATAACAGTTCGTCCACGTACATGGGAATAGCTAGCTCAGAGGAAAACCGAAGAAAACTGGAAAAAGAGGGGGAAAAGGAAACTTTTCGACATGCTTGACTGAGAGCAATAACTAGATCCTGATCGTGGGCCTAGCCGGAACAGACAATCGGAAGGGGGGTAAAGAAGGGGAGAATGGTTCAAAGACGTGAAGACAACGGGTCATCAAAACAAATTAGCCACCGACATAACCAAAATCAATCCGGCTATTCGAAGAGAGCACACGGAGAATTGCTGTTAGGTCCAGGCCACGGCAGGGATCCAGTGCCGCGAGCTGGGACGCTCTGGCGGTAGTAGCGCGATATTTTGGTCAAGTGATGAACAGCTCTGGGGTATCGATGAATCTATGCGAATCGGCCACCGCGGCGGTTGTTGCGCTGTCTCCCCGAGCCAACCGTGCTCCAGCCCTCCTCGTCGGCGGCTGCAGCCTGGGCCTCAGCGGGGGCGCTCCGCCAGCTGCCGTTAGTCTTGCTGGCAGCCGCATCGGTAGCAGCAGCCTCAGCACCCTTAGCAGCCGTTTCCTCGCCCTGGTCCTGTTCAGCCTTCTCGGCACCCTCTTCCTCACCGGCCTGCCGGAGGATATCGAAGTTCTTGCCACCCTGAGGAGTGTCGGTGACGTCTCTTCCGTTGGGGTCAGCCGTGGACACCGGCTTGTCGGTCTTGCCCTGCTCCTTGGAAGCGCGTTGCTTCTCGCCCTTCTCAGCCTTGGCCTTCTCATCAGCCTCCTTCTTTTGGCGGATCGCAAGTTGGCGACGCTCCTCAACCTCTTTCTCGCGGGCAGCGGTGTCGATGGGCTTAGCTCCACCGAAGATGCTGGCCTTGGACTCGCCGCCGGCAGCCGGGGACGAAGACTCAGTCACAGTCCGTTTCTGGAGGTTCAACTTGGGGCGGCTAGGAGCGGCGGGAGCGGCAGGGGCGGCAGCAGGCGAAGGGGGGTTGCTGGACTCCTTGGGCTGATCGGGGCGCATTCTGGACCGCCATGCGTTGTCGAGGTCGGCAGCAGTGGGCGTGCGTTCTTGACGTTCTTGGAATTCGCGGCGAGGAGGACGAGAGCCATCCTGAGAGCGTCCCTCACCAGAGAGTCCCTCGTGGGAGCGGCCCTCACCCCAGGCGGGGGAGCTGCGTCTGAAACCAGGTCCTTCGTTGCTACGGGGGCGCCCTTCTCTCACGGGGGCGGGAGGGGACAGAGGGCCCTTGCGCTCCCAGTTGTTGAAATCGCGGAACTTGCCATCGCTCTCGAAGTTGCTGCGACGGTTGTTACCGCCGCGCTCACTGCCTGCATCAGACATGTTATCCATGTTGCGGCCGAAGTTGGAGCGATCGAAGTTGGAGCGTTCAGGGACGCGGCGCTGGGGAGCATCCGGAAGAGGGCCCTTGCGGGTCCAGTCAAATTCCTTGACATCGCGCTCCTTGGCTAAAAGCGGTTGTCAGCCAGCATATAACAGTATCCAAGAGTAGCAACACCTACGAGGCTCAGCGATGCTGACACGGATCGCTCTTCCCTGAAGAGTAGCGCCGGAGAGGTCGAGAGCCTTCTTCAGACCATCGACAGTCTCAAACTCGACATATCCGAATCCCTTGGGGGCCTTGGTCAACTTGTCCTCCACAACACGGACGTTGGTCACACCGCATTCGGCAAAGAGATCGGAAATATCGGCAGAAGCCGCATCGAAGGACAGATTACCGACGTGGGCGGTATAGGGAGGCTGAGTAGGAAGAGGGAGAGGCTCTCTGACGGCGTAACCACCACGCTCGCGTTCTTTCATCGAATCATGTCAGCCTAGGAAATCCCTCGAACTAATCTTGTAGCGGAGAAGCCATACCACCAAATCCATTACCGAAGCCGGAAGAGGAAAGACCCATAGGGCGGCGGTCGCCTCCGAAGCTGGTCGAAGAAGGGGCTGGCTAATGATTAAATTGATGCCATCATGATGAGGCTAAGGGTGCGCTCCAAAAACCACGTACCGGCTGTAAATCATCGTACGATTAGCAAAGATCGTTAGAACTATTTCAGAATGAGAAACACTTACCAGGCAAAGGCATGTCGTCCATCTCATCGGCCCAAGAGCCGAGGGCTAGTCCTCATCAGTCATGTTCATCCCCGCGGGGGTATGGGGATATCTCGACGGACTTACACTCATCAGCCAAGAAGTTGCCTAGCGACATCTTCTGGGCTTTCTGCTTTCCGGGCGCTGAACATATGAAAGATACATCAGTAAACAGGGACATCTTTGAGGGGTAGAGAGGTGTGGGTTGCGACAGCGCGCAGGGCCACAGAGAGGGGTTGCAAACGAACCCATGATTGCGGTTGTTCAGAATCGGGGAAACGCGCCAAGGGAGTTCCTGTGCGCGTCTCGGGGGTTGAAGGCGAGAGTTAGATGGGGGTGAAGAAGACTTCCGAATTAGAAGTCTTGAGAGAATGCGGAGGATGACGTTCAAAGGACGATGAACGATGGGTGGGTTGGGATGCAAGGAAGCTCCGCAGTTGAAGAACAGAGGGGAAAGTAGGTTTATCCGTGAGGATAATTTTTAGTGATGACACTAAAAAAGTCAGCCTCCAAAAAGTGTTGGTGCGGCTTTTGGGCCTGTTGGCGCTCGACCCAACCAAGTAAGTCCCAGTCCAGCTTCCCGAGGGCTTTTTTCCCCTTCCAGTCTTTCCCAGCCCGGCCCCCTCTTTTGCTTGGGACTCTTTTTGCGGAGAGAGAGACAAACTGTGTGAAAGTGAAACTCTCCACTTGAGTTTTGGTTTTTTTTTTCTTCTATTCTTTCTTTTCTTTTCTTTGAATCATGTGTTCCCAATTCTTATTACAGGTTCAAATACCTTTAAGTCGTTTGCTGTAGGGGTATTTCTTTCTTCGCTTCTTACTCTTCCTTTTCACGCCTCATCCCGGCCGAGCGCATCTTCACTGCTCATATCAGCCGGCAGATTTGACATGCAGACAATCCCCCCCAAAAAAACAAAAATCTTTTGCGGGGATGTTAAACATCACCTGTAATGTTTGTGAACCATGCTGCCTTGAATTATTCTTCTTCTTGACACAATTCTTCCCCGCGGACACATCCGCAACACTACTGCATGGAGACAAGACTTCTATTAGACTATTCAGCTTTCACCGACAAGAAAAATTAGTTAAGGCTTCTGCATTCTTGCCATTCTTCATGATTGTGTGTTACAGCTTCTGGCCCCATTATCCCCTCAGCTGGCTGGGCACGAGGAAGCAAGGTTCCATGCCCGCTGTGAAACAAAGAGAAGTTAAATCTCGGGTGACTTGCAGCCACTTGAGGTTGCTGCATCCTCTCGCCTGCATCTTTACAATTGGACACAAAAAATGAACCATTGCAGGCTCCCTTGTGACTGTCATGAAAGATCAGCTTGCTCAAGATATCAGACGGTCAAACTGGTATGCTGCTTTCAACCCTTGGCTAGTAGAAGCGTCGTGCAATGGGTTAGGTTTAGCATCAAGGTTTGCTGAGACATCAGAATGCAAGTCATTGTGCAATACTCGGCGCAAGGCGGGTCAAGAAAGGATGTTGGCTCTCTTTGTATAGTCAGCATCATGAGCCGTCTTCCACTTTTCGCTTCACATCCAGGCATGCCATTAGACATGCCATTATATCATCAAACCCATATGCCCTGAATTTCGCCAATTGTCCTAAAGACGTCGGATTGCAAATGTCACAGATATGGACACAGACTGTGCTTTTGACGGCCATAGGATATAAAAAGTTTGAAATGACTTCTCGGCTTAGTCGGTCAATTGAACTTTGACTCCGTAGAGTATATGCATGGGGAAACAGTCGAAACCAGCCGAAGAGTTCAGTGCGCACAGTGCTCAAGAAAAGGCTTCTGACTTAATTAAGTGTGTGAAAGAATTGTATGTTTGCTGGCAAGTGCAATCGTGGGCACTTTACGCAGTACGCGACTCGTTTCGCTCGACAGAACGGACTAGCTTTAGAAAGGTGCCTGCGACAGTTGCTCCAAGTCAGCCACGGTGTTGATATAAAGATAGAAACTGCAAGATCAAGCATCCGAGTCTTGCGAGCGACGGACTACCCGATACAAGGTCTTGAAGCATTTTGTGACTTGTGTGGAGAAATATTTTCAATGATGCGTTGCAATTAGGCTAACGCTAAGAAGAGCAAGTATGCTTTGAAGCATTGCCGTCAACGTCCAGACGGTCAGTCATACTGTTGTCGTGTGTTCTCTTCGATTACCGCACACGCAGTACAAGCAATAGCACTGGGGTTTGAGTGAGGCCCAAGCAAATTTGTAGGCAGCTGGCTAGTGAGACGAGCGTATATTCAGCAGGGCAACCATTCAGACCGTAAGGTCTATGCATTCAGGCCAGAACAAGTCAAAAAATGACAATTGCAATAGAGGACAAAGGGAAGAAGTGGTCAAGCTCTGTTCTTTAGGTTGATAACTGGACCCGCTTGGATTGCGGGCATATCGAGACCCGCTGAGATGACATCATCCTCCGCCCGCAATTACTCGTTACTATACGGTATAATTGATGTTGCGCTCTCGGCCTTGAATTAATGGGACTTCGGATGTATATGCCACTGACGGTGATTTCTGCAGACAGAATGTATGTAAGAGGAATTAACTGCTGCTGAGCGCCGGTGTAGACATGGAAGGTTCAGAGCCTTTCAGATTCGCGATTATGCACACAAATACATGACAAAGCAGCATATCCCGTGCCCAAATCACGTGTGCCATTATGGTTTTCCCTGGCGATGAACCGATTACTTGGGCAATTGTCGGCCTGAAGGTGTAACTAACCAACGTACGAAGTAGATCTGAGGGTAAAACTTGACTTCGATGTCGACAGCGAGCAGGATGAGTGAACAGAACAAGAGCCAGTCTACGTTTTTCCCGCTCGTCAAGGCAGGAGCTCTGAGCGGTTAGTCCCTCTAAAACCCGGCGAAGCCTCCACGGTTGTACATTTTTCGCATCAATTCCATGATCCATGTTCTTGCATAGCATGGCGATAACCGCGATGGCCCACTGACATGCCACGATAGGCTCTCTTGGACTGGTGTATGGAGGTGTTGCAGGTGTCATCCGGTCTCCTAATCCGGTGATCCATTCTCTATCTTGCGGTGTTCAATGGGCTGCAACTGGGAGCGGCTTCTGGTGTAAGTGTTCCCTCTTGGCTCCGTGTCGCGTTGATTTTAGCAGAGATCTGAGCCTTCCCCCTGCAGTCTTGAGAGAGAACATCTTAAAATATCATTTCGAAAACAATGCCGATTCTAAGCAACGCGCTTATGTCAGCGCTCTATCAGGGGGCATCGCTGGAGGCACCGTTACCCGACTACTAGGTACGTCGATTGATCATTCTTCGCTGTGGTCACTGCTAGGGAAAACTGCCTGCAATACTAATACCTGGCGTCAGGGGGTCGACTAATTCCAGGAGTGGTGTTCTTTTCGGCACTAGGCTATCTGGGCCAAAGCACTTATAATGCGATCGACACATGGCAATTAGAAAAGGCCAACACTCCATCGAAGCCGATCCTTCAGCGGATCGCCGATTCAAAATGGATTCCGCTCAAGTCCCTCTCCGATGATGATTACAGGGGGATTTTGCGCGAGAAGCTCCTGAGCATCGAGGCCGAGATCGCACTCCTCGATGAAAAGATTGAAGGGCTGGAGAAACTCAAATCTCAAGGGTCAGATTTGTCCTCGTCCGACACATCCACCAGGTGACCAGAGAATCCAGCCCGTCAATTTCTACCACGAACGGCCTTGGTGTAATAGAATGTTACGGGTTAACATTTTCTCCCTGGCTTGTTGCAACCCTTGACTTAGCCACGCCGATGCGGAGCACCGCGAAGATCATGCGGCCATTTGGCTATTCTGGCATCGATGATTGTTCTATAGAAGGATTGCTCCCCCAAGGCGAGCCCTAGTGAACCTACGGCCCGCAAAAGCGCAGTAGTTATCACCATGTATAACATCACTCTACTATGTTCCTACTTGTATAACCCAAGAATCAGGATTATACCACCCAGATCAGAGCTGTTGAACTGTTGTAGCATGAACTTAGCTCTCTTTCAACGTCTTGTGCAAATACTTAAAGGCCGTGAGACTTGAAATAACGTCAAACAAGATGAATTTGCCTCCTGTCTAGGTTCAGGGACCGCAACTCTATAGTAGGCATTGCAGCGCTTGACGTGGTGTAAGCTAATGGTTGTACTGTACCTCCATGCAAGCAGAACGCCAGATGACCCGAGTGGCTGTCACAGGGGTCGTAGTCAAAAGGAGTGCATGCGACCCAATTGACATGCAGGTTCAATTGACAGGCACCTTTAATTTTACGATCTCAATAAATCTGTAAGCTGATCTTCAGACGAACCACCCCTAAAAGGCGGGCAAACCCACCCACCTTCAATACTACGTAAGCTGTTAACTTACATAGTACTAGAGTAACTTGTTACTTTCAGGCCTCGTACGAGGGGTGTACAACCGTATGGAAACTGCCGAGCCAGCCGGACGGTCCGGCCACTGGGCAAAAGTGGATGAGTGGCCCGGAGTGGGTGGCTTTCCGCTTCCAGTTCTGCCGCGTCGGGTTCGACCTTTCCCGCCGCTGACAGCTGGTAGGTTGTATTATCCATCCTCGATTATTCTTCGAGCTGCCTCAACTACGGTTGTTGCATCATCAAACATCCAACTCTTCCCCTTCGCCTCAAATGCTCGGGAAAGAACATACTCAAACAGAAAAGAAGCATGACTGACTTAAAACTGGCCCGTCCTTGTCGCATCATCTCTCCGGCTGGTCGGCACGTCTCGTATTAACGGAGACCTGTCCTTCGCCGGTTCCGCAGACAGGGAATACACCCCCCCCCTCTCTCTCCCTCGAGAACAGGAGGATCGCGGGCTCGATTCAAGGCTGTTCGTCCGTTCGGACTGTTCACCCATCGTGGCTTGCGATAGCCTCCTTTCGCTCATTACCCTTATATAGATACCAAACGACCTACAGCATCTCCATGATTTCTTGGCTGACGACTCCCCGTCCTGTGCAACCGGTCAGTCCCGCTGATCGTGAAATACGATGACGCTCTTCAGTCCGACCACGATTCTCGTGGGCTTCCTTTTCTTATACCTCCTATCCTTCCTTATCTTCGCCATTGTCCGAATTGCGACCGGAGTCTCCATCCAGCGAATAGGATACCTCTCTCTCCGTCGAATTACCTATGTCCCGAAAGATGGCGTGCAGATCGAACTCCGTGGCCTCGGGCTGTCCTTACATCCACCGTCATTTGCGCAACCTACATGGCTCAGTCTCAAGCTCACAGAGCTCAAAGTGACGCTGGATCCGTCAGTCTTGGGAAAAGCTCGCAAACCAGTGAACAGACCCGATGTCTTGGAGCCGCAGAGTCCTTCGGAGGGCGATGATTCGAACAAGGAAAGCACGGAAACGGCTGGGCACAACGCTAAGCAGCGGAGTAAGACGTGGAAGAGTTTGATGCGCATCAAGGAGCAAGTGAAACAGTTACATCGGAAAATTCATTGGTTGAAGTTGGTGGATGTCGTGGCCGTCAATACTACCATCAATATTGTCGAAGCTGGTCAGATACAAGTGGGATCGCTGTCCCTGGGAGTCGATACCAGGCGCAAAATGGTCGATCGAGGCACTTTGTATCGGTCTGGGAGAACCGATGCTAGCGAACAGAAGCCCGCTGAGTGGATCATGAACGTTCAGAATGTGCTCTTGGCCGTTGATGGAGGCGAATTGACCGAAGTGCTGGACAATATTCGCGTGCATATACATGGCCTTCTCCATAAAGAACTGGATGGTCTCAGAGATGCTTCGATAGCTCTCAAGGTTGGAAGGATGCATATTCCGTACGACGACTTGATGACATTCATGCAGCGCGTCAAGAAATCCAAGCAGTCGCCGAAAGAGCCTGTGGATAGCAACAACACTGACGACGAAATGTCGTTTGCTGACTTTGTCGAAGAACTTGATCAACCTGGGAGTAGGGATGACTCAATTGTACAGACCGTCGCAGATTCGAAAGAGTTTGCCGGTTCTATACTACGCGGCATACAAGGGATCCAGGTGGCGCTGAGCTTTTTCCGCCTGTCTCGGGCTTTTCAACCGTCGTCCGAAAAGCAAAGTCCAATATTTCTCAACGTCGTATCTCACGAGATAGGCATCGACTTACACCGAATGGATCAGCAGAGTCCTGCCCATCGGATGTATTTTCAGCGCAAGGACGTCGCGCATCAGGCTCTTCTTGCCGCCATCTCTCTCTCGGTCAGCTTGGACGATGGCTCAGGTGAAAGTGACAACATACTCTACATCCCGATGGCCACAACCACGATAAAGACCACTCTCCCTTCCAAAACCATCAGCTCCTTTGACGACTACAACCCGGAGGAGCGCAACACTAATATTCTGTTTGCCAATTTGGTGGTTACCTCACCTTCCCTTGATCTTGAGCCAAGGCAGGTCTCTAGACTCCTCGGCTTGTCGCAGTCCCGCAGGCCATCACCCAGAGGCAAAAAAAGAGACAATAATCGCTTGATATCGCGATTGCTTCCCAAAGCAAGCATCAAAGTATCCATTCACGAGCCGGTGGTTAGATTTGTTCTGCCGATTACCAGCCCGGATCGAACCTCCAACGATGACTACAATCTTCTCATATCCTCAATATCTGCGATTTCGCTCGATATCGAGTCTTCGCACTCCTCAGAAGGTGGAGTGCATTACTCATTGTCCTCAATTTATCGGGTGGCTTCGCACAAATTATATTACCAGACACCATCTGGTATTAAACATAACCTCCTCACAACTGAGTCATTAGAGTTCAAGGTTCTATTGAGTGCTTCTCCAGAGGTACGCGTGATGGCATCAGGTAATCTAAATACCGCCTCCGCGCACATGGTCAATGATGAAGTGAATCGCGGAATCTACGAGGTCATTGAGCAATTCCGCGCTCATACCAAGCATAAGAGAACGGTATCTATGTCCGTCGAAGAGCGGAAGCCCAGTGTTCTGAGGCGTGTCCCCCCATGGCTCCTCAGGTTCCAGTTTGAGGCCACTGGCCTTAGCTTGGAGATTGCCGGTGTTGATGCCAGTGTCTCATCGCTATCTCGTGGTGTCTCATTTCAGCTGCAATCATGGACCGCAGACTATAAGGCCCAGAAGTCTGAGCCGATTGCTGTCAGCTTCTCAAGGCGACGTACGCCTAGTCATTCAACAATAGGTGATGAGTCGTCCTTCAAATTTCCTACCTCACCCCCAAGGCAGAAGCTAGGCGTCGCTGCCGATGGTCGTCGACTTGCCATTCATGTCCGTGGCTTTGAAGGATTCGTGATTGAATCGGAAGACTTTCTGGAGGCTGAACCTTTCTTCTCCCTTCCGAGGTTCGAGGTTGCTTTGAGCACTATGAGCGATCGCCTCGGACCGATTTTCAACATCAATTCTGTCTTCAAAGGGGTTTACCTCCAGTATTCGCTCTACCGGTATTACTGTCTTGGGGTTGCTGTTTCTGTGCTTAAGAACGCTTTCATGCGTAGGGCATCCGGAACTCAAGACCAAGAAGCACCCCAAGGTCTGAACGGCTTCTCTCCTCCATCGTCACGGGCTTCTTCCAGAGGCGAGCTTGTCACCGTCGATGTGAGGGCAACAGTCATTCAAGTCAAGACCTTCCTCCCTGCGGATCCCCCAATGTTGCTGCAGATCTACGGGCTCACAGGGGGGTCTCACCGCCTCTCTACACCTTTTGTTCGAGCTCATTTGGTACGATTGCATGCCGAAGCCCCCAAACTCAAAGGGATCTGGGCTAGAATCATAAGCATGAACAATGTCAGGCTCGACTTGCGCAAGATGAAAATAAAGCAGGGCACGAGCATGGTTGAGCAGAAATCAATCGATGTTTGGGCGGACTTTATCCGACTTGGAGTTCCGCATCATATGGTCATGCATCGCATCTTTGACAACTTCATCAATACGTCTAAGGCACTCAAGCAACTTCATCAGCGATTCAAGGGTCATTCGGCTGAGTTTGGAGCAGCAAGAGACCCGGAAGACCCGAAGAAAGTGCCTAGGATCTCCTTGCGCAGCAAAGCATTACTCTTTGAGATGGAAGATGATGCTTTTGAATGGAAGCTTGGGTGCATTTACCGCACTGGTTTACTGGAGCAGCGTCAGCGCCTGGCGAGGGAAGAGGCGTTTGAATTGAAATTGCAGAAGATCAAGGAGACAGATCAGCGACGCACTTCATCCAGGCTCCGTACCAGGTCAAGCCACCGGACCCTTCGCAGTGAACGCCAAAGTGAGGAAAGAAGGAGAAGTAGGAGTGCCGATGCAAAGCCGCGGAAGAGCTTGAATGATGACAAACGTGGACGAGACAGGAAGTTCCGTTATGATACGGAAGGTGCTGCTTGTCTATCGTGCGAATCCAAAATCTCTGCCGAAAACGCGTGGTATCGGCTTCAGGAGCACAACGCCCGATCCTGGAAATCAAAGATTGACTCCGCGCTACGGTTCCAGGGTACGTCGATCAGGGAGGTGAGAAACCTCTTCTCCGGCGCGGACGAACCGCCCGAAGACGTACAAGAGACAGAAACTGTCCTGTCAATCCCAAATCGACCTGCTATATTGTCGGCTCTGATAAGTGACATCAATCTTGTGATCGACAAGCCGTCTTTTCCTCTGGAAGATTATCCCAAGTTCCTCAACAGCATTGGTAAAGGCATGCCAATGTCAATGAAGTATGCTTTGCTTGTTCCCATGAGCATTCAGTTGGACATGGGAGAAGCTCGGGTCAACCTCAGAGATTATCCACTGGACCTCTTGCACATCCCGGCACTTCGGCCCGGACAATCCCCAAGATTGTCAAGCTGGTCCCTGCGGACCAATTTCGTGATTGCCGAGGAGTACCGC